ACAAGCGTAAGCTGAAGGAATGCTATCAACTGATGAAGTCCCTGGGCAGCGGCGGTGCCACCGTCAAGGCTTAAGCCAGCGCCGCGCGAAATTAGTTCAAACATATTTTTGTTAAGATTATCCACGGTGAAAGACAGGAACATGTCTCGAACGATACAGAGATCTAAAGCATTGCATAACTGTTTTTACCGTACCAGCACGAAAGTCTTAGCAATCAAATCCACACGCTTTTTACCTGCTATCATTTCTGTTTAGTTTGTAATTAATTCTAATACACATTTAATACAAATGGATATTTGTTTACTGATAATGGTTACCACACGCATATATATGTATATTTATTTCAATAAATATTTGAACAGTTTAAAATCTTTGGAATTTATGTGTGCGCACTTAATAAGTCAAATTATCTTGGCACACATATTGATTATATAAACACTTTGATACTTTACAATTTACAAAGGTGAGGTTGAATAATACTAATAATGTGTTACAATCTATCACAATTTAAATATGAAAAACATTTTTCTTTAGTTAAATGAAAACTGCGCTTGCTAAATCTAAGATTTTGACCAGAATCGATGTTGCTTATTCATTTAAATTGATATGTATTTAATAAAGCTTGACATTTTAATAACAAAATAAGAAATTATAGAGGATTCATTTCCACTTTGGCTTTTTAATATATTAAGAGTCTGAAATTTTAAATATAATACCCTTAATCCAAGTGAAGATGTCACAATCAAATTCAATATTCATTGAAACAAACTTATTCGTTTTTATATTAATTAGAATACAATTGATTTACGAAGTCCCTGAATGGGTCTCTTAGTAGTCTATACATGAGGGAAACTAAGCTAATTTGTTTGGCAGGTGGAAGAAAGGGCACAAAGCTATATACACTATGGCCCCTATAGCCCACTTAGCCCCGTTCTCTACCCAGAAGGGATTTTGAAGGTTTTCATTATTTTAAAGGCATCGTTGTGTTTAGGGTATCTGCTAGTCGGTCACTCCCGACTAGAGCATTCGTATTGAAATAGTTCTTTCTTGTTAGAAAATTGGTTTCTTAAACCTTCATAAAATGCGTTTAGCTTTGCGTGATTAACCATAAATTTAAATATGTGTGCATAGTTGGATAGGTTTTGGTTTCTAAATGGATGCTAAATATTTGATAAGCAATTATTAAATAGCAACAATCCCAGTATAAAACGGAAAATTACATTATTGATATGCAATTAACAAAGGTCCTTCGAGCATATATAAAACAACATTTAGGGATCAGACATCACAGAACTAGACGACATGTCAGGCATATTGGTGGATGCCAATTATTGGTCCAAAGTTTTAAGTTTTCTCGGTGAGTTTTGCTTGGAGCTATAAGAATCCATTGATGAGATAAATTGTAGCACAGCAATATTTTATGGACTCGCATGCCACGTGCATATTATGGCACGCCTCATTTGATATACAACTGGAAACAAGCGAACCGCTTGCAGTGCTGAGTCTGGAGCCACAGAAATGGTTTAGCCTGGAAGAGGATAGGGACTTCTATGATTATGATCGGAAACGTGCCGAATTCGAGGAGAACAGCCTGGCGTACAACGATTGGATCTTGAGACTTGCCGTTGCCATCGAACAGACTAATTGCGAGGTGAGCTCAGAACCAAATTAATCCTGGAATAGATTGCTTCGTGTGTCGATCTGGCATACACAGAGGGCATGCAACGCCCAGCCAGTCCAATTGCAGCAATTGCGAGTCTAAATTTTGCTTTAACTGAAATTAGATGAGGTGAAATATAAGAATTATAAAAGAAATGGAACTGTCAGCGAAAACAACCTGCTGTTGAGCCGCTTTAGATGCCGGAAGCTCCAGCGTTAGCATAAGTGTCTCACGCCTTCCGTTTGCTGCCTGCCTGCGCAGCTCCTCTTGTACGGCGCATAGAAAGCGGTCCAGCTCCTGTTCCTGCCAGTGCTTGCTTAGCTTCAAGTGCTGCAGTTTCGAGCAGTAGCCAATTATGTCCAGCAGCTGCATCATGCTAGCTGTAGGCTCACTGCACTGCAGGGCCAGACACTCGAGTTGCTGCAATTTCCGCAAGTGCATCAGCGTCTCGCTAGGCCACATGTGACAGGCGAGTGCCTTCAGGCTTTGCAACGACATAATGTGCTCCACGTGCTCTGGCTTTACTTCGGTCAGCTGCAGCTGCTCCAAACGATCCGCATAGCGTTGGGCCAACGATCGAAAGAGCTGGCTATTCAGCCGTATGTGCAAGCGCCAAAGCAGACGCAACGACTTGAGTTGCGGAAAATCGCCCACATCGTCCAGCGTGCCTTCGAAGTTCTCCAGCGACAAGTGCTCCAGCCGGGGGCAACAGGCGGCCAAGGGCGGCAGCTGTCGCCTCGCAGCGAATCGCAGCATAAGCCTGCGCAGTTCCGGCAGCGCCTGGAACAGCTCAATGAAATTGGCATCACTCAAATCAACATCAAAGCCATCAATATGCAGCGCCTCCAGTTCGGCAAAGTTCCGTAGCTGCAGCACTGCAACAAATTATAAAACTATCTATGACTGCGATTCTCACGAACTCGAGTAAAGACATTTCACCTTCAGCCGCCTTTGCATCGATCAGACTCACGCTATGCAGATTCTTTCGTTGAAGCATCTGCAATATGTTAAGATCTCCGCTCTCTGCCGGCGGCTTTATATCGGAGTGCGCGAATATCAGGTGCAAATGCCGTAAATTGTTGCAGTGTGCATTCAAAAGCGTCAGAAACGGTTGCGTGATATTGTCATCCCAGCGTCCATGGCGTAGCTCACACTCGAGAACACAATCGCCACACAACTTTAATAGATAATCCCAATCAGAAATGCAGCGTAGCATTCGCATATTTATTTTCGCATAGCGACGCGGCGCCTCCCGAGTCAACACCTCGCGAAACTGCGGATGCGCTCTGGCCAAATTTAGTTTGTCTTCGAGCGCAGTTAGATATGAAAATATCACCTCAATGCAGTCGTAGTTTAAATTTAAAATATTTGTTTTATTCCGCTGCGGTTTGCTGGCAAGGAATCCCAGCGGACAAGCTAAACCAAGTTTTTGCATTGTTTACATTCGAGTGTTGTTAACATGTGTCTTGTTTTTGGTTAGCCAGGGTTGCCAGCTCGCCGAAATACATGAAAAATGTAAAAACTGCGTTAACCAACACTGACGCCGTTGAAACGCTTTAAGCCCGCATTATAATGTTATTTAATTTAATTTAAATAAGCCAATTCGCTTAATATAAGTATATTATTCAAGCTATCAAATTTTACCGATTATTAAATGCAATTACAGAGTTTCATAGCATTTCAGGAGGAAATACCAAAGTTTGCTCGTTATTTCTATAATGCCAGCACTTATTCAATTTGGCGTTCAATCAAAAATCGTTTTATTTTTGCGTACACCGAAGAACTTCTGGAGAAATCTACTGAATCTGCTAGTTATATTGATGGCTATCTATTTCACGGTAAGCCAGCCACTCAAGCCTCACTTTCACTTTACAAATATTATTCAGTTTTGCCTCTTAAAGATCAACCCAACGTTCTTTTGGTCAGCGCACAATTTCTGAATGCAAGCGTCTTTGAGATTAAAACGAATCGCTTTGTTGGTCCCCGATATTTTGGAGCTAAACCCATGCCAGCCGCCTTTTATACCATTCAGATTTACGATGCCAAACTTGGGAAAGTATTATGGGATAGCGGGACAGACATTTCGGGAAAAATGCGAAATTTACAAGGCCGTGAAATCGTTTTGGGAGTATTCAATTACGAACCATTCATGCTGCTCGACTATGTACGTATAAAAATATATAATTACATGTAATTTGTTTTTTTTTTTGTTCTCGCCAGACTAAGGAACCAGCGCTTTACGATCGTGCCTTAAATAGAGCGGAGGCTTTTGCAGATGGCACCGAAGTTCGAGTTGTGCGAACCTTTTGCGAGCTCTACAATTGCACTGTCCAATTGGATACAAGTGAGTGTCAAACTTAGTGGTAAAAAAAATACCAGATACAAGTGAGTGTCAAACTTAATGGTAAAAAATACCAGATACAAGTGAGTGTCAAACTTAATGGTAAAAAAATATACTGGATGCAAGTGTGTGTCAAACTTAATGATACAAAATACTAGATACTAGTGAGTAGCAAACTTAAGGGTAAAAAAAATACTAGATGCAAGTGAGTGTCAAACTTGATGGTCAAAAAAATTCAAGATACAAGTGATTGTCAAACTTGATGGTAAAAAAAATACCAGATACAAGTGAGTGTCAAACTTAATGGTAACAAAAAACCAGATACAAGTGAGTGTCAAACTTGATGGTAAAAAAATACCAGCTACAAGTGAGTGTCAAACTTAATGGTACAAAAAAATACTAGATGCAAGTGAGTGTCAAACTTGATGGTAAAAAAAATACCTGATACAAGTGAGTGTCAAACTTAATGGTAAAAAAAATAAACAAATATTATGGAAATATCAAGCGATATGCAATATTTCAATCAGTAAGATCTCAGCTTTAAGCCATTATTTTAAAAATTCAAATTAAATGTAGATAAATGTAGATTCAAACCGGGATTAAAATTGATAAGATTAGGTCTAGTAAAAGGTGCTTTATATATGACACGCCGAAAACGGAATACTCTTTTTAAATTATGAGACAGAAGGACTCAACTGTTGATGCTTCAAGACTGAATATATACTTTTGGGGTGGAAGATATGTCCTTCTATACATTTCATGACAAAAAGAATTAATCAAAACAATTAAATTGAAGTTTAAAAATAAATTTAACATATGAGCTCAACTTCGTTTCCAAAGTTATGAACCCTTTAATAGGCGCCTAAGTCATAATAATTGATCATTAAATAATAAAAAAAAAACCTTCAGTAAAATATTTTCATGCGAATAAGAAATCATTTTCGTATACACAAAAATCATATTCAATACAAGTTTTAAATCTTAGCTTCGATGCAATATTAAGTTCTTAATCTTTTAAAACCTGCGACATCTGTCTTACACAGAAATTAATATAAATTCATTTCAATCTTAGAACTAACTAACAAATTAACTTTATGATCCTTTCCTATTTGTACTTATGCGCATTTAGTAACATTCATTTTATGTTGTTAGATCTTTGGTGTGCCCCTGAATATGTCGCTTGAGGGTCTTGTTGTGCCTAAACGAAATCTGACAGTGGGGACACACGAAGGCGCAGTGCTTGGTGTGGACGCGTCTGTGCTCGTTCAGAGAATGGCTGGAGGCGAAGCTCTTCGGGCAGTTGGCGCACTGGAAGGGACGCTCGCCCGTGTGCGTGCGAACGTGCAGCCGGAGCACGTTCTTCCATGTGAAGCTCTGTGGACAGTGGGGACATTTGAAGGGTCGTTCGCCGGTGTGAATGCGCCGGTGCTCATCGAGATCATATTTTCTGACAAATGCCTTGGGACAGTTGTCGAAAATGTGCATACGTTTTCCATGTCGTCTCATATGGGCATTCAGGCCCTTGTTGGACATAAAATCGGCCGTGCAGCGAGGATAGGGACACTTGCAGGGACGTTCTTTGTTGCGAAAATTGGGTTTCTTTACGTTTTTATGCCTGGCCAACTTCTCAGATGTGGAAGACGAAGACGAGTTCTCCTCGCTAGAAACACGTTCCTCGCCGGAATAGGATCCATCGCTGGAATAACGCTCCTCGCTGGCGTAGCGTTTGCGCTTGCGCTTACGAATCGGATAGCGTTGCGATTTGGTCACGTCATCGGGAGTTGGCGTACGATTCTCTTGGTTGTCCTCTTCGCTGCCTACAGCTATAATGCTTTCCGCAGCCGTGCTCATTTCCAGCATAGACTCGAAATGAAGATGAGCCAAGTCTATATCGCTGTCCTCGAGTAGCCCATATGCCTCAGCGGCTTCCATATACACTCCACTATCTGAGCTGAGCAGGCTGCGCCTTAAGCTAAACGCATTTTTCGTGGCCAGAGCACAGTCGAGGCACAGCTGCTTGGGCAGTGCATCATCGCATTTAACCTCGCAATCTCCGCATTGACTTAACATTGTGGCCAAACTGGGCTCATCCTCATGCCGCTCGGCGAATATGTCTACGAGCATGTCTGAACTTTTGAAACAAGAGCGACAAACGTCTGCCATGTTGGACATCTCTGCAGCTGCTCTTGGCGAGCTTTAATTATTCCTATATCCCTTTGGTAACCCGCAATTTCGAACTCGCTCGAAAATAGGATTCAACACTGTCAGCTGGTTCTAAGTTCAGGGTTGCCAACACTTTTATTCAAATGAGTTAATCGTGAACCATGCTGAGATTGGGTACGTTATCGAAATCGTTATCGATATCGACATTTCAAATATAAGTTTGGGAAATACAAACGATTGAAGCCGTGGTGTTTTTCCGCCTTAATAAAACTATGCACATAAATCGAAAATCTACATAAATACCTTTCTATACATACATTTTGCTTAAGTATATACATACATGATGCACAGACATGCATTGCATGTACATACAGCACAAACACATTATTAACGTATATATTCTTAAATGTTGCTCTTCTCCGCGATTCTCATACTCTCATTCTCCGTATATTGTAATTTGTCATTAAAACCATTTAAATAAATTACGATTATCATATTATCAACAGCTGAAAAGTCGGAATGGGGCGATATCTATGCAAATGCCACAGGTTTTGGATTAATGGGCATGGTGTTGGAGAGAACCATTGATTATGGGATTGGCGGCATGTATATCTGGTACGATGCCTATCAGCAAATGGATATCACACATTTTTTGGGACGTTCCGGTGTTACTTGCCTGGTGCCTGCTCCGCATCGTATGATTAACTGGGCCTTACCTCTGCGCCCATTCCAAGGCACTTTGTGGTTATGCGTACTATTTTGCCTCATCTTGGAGTGCCTAGCTCTGGCCGGCACGCGTCAATGTGAGCGCTCACCAGCAACAAATGCCCACCAATCGCGCTGGCGTCAGAGTCTGCGCTTCGGTTGTGTCAGCACGCTGAAGCTGTTTGTGAACCAGAGCACCAATTATGTGGCGACATCGTATTCCCTGCGCACCGTCTTGCTGGCGTGCTACATGATCGACATAATCCTGACCACCGTTTATGGAGGCGGACTTGCTGCTATACTGACCTTGCCGAAGCTTGAGGAAGCTGCCGATTCGCGACAACGTCTCTATGAGCACAAGTTGATCTGGACGGCAACATCTCACGCCTGGATTGCCACCATTGATACCGAGAATGTGGATGTAAGCGACGGTCTTATGGATTTCTCTCTCCATTTTCTGGTGAATTTTCTTTTTGTCACTTTCAGCACGTTTTACTGGGTTTAATGAAGAATTATCGTATAAATGATGCGGCTACTATGGCCGCCAAATCGCGTACCGAACAGATGGGCTTTGTGGTTGAGAGATTGCAGTTTGGCCAAGTGGCCAACGCTGAGATGATTCCTGACGATGCCCTACCTCGACTTAAGCTCATGGTAGATGATATATACTTCGCCTACACGGCTGCCTATGTGCCGCGTTTGTGGCCATTATCTAGCATCCACAATGATTTCATACTCGCCTGGCATTCGTCGGGCTTTGACAAGTACTGGGAATGGCGGATCGCGGCCGAGTATATGAATTCGCATAGACAGAATCGCATTGTGGCCTCCCAAAGACCTAACCTTGATATCGGACCCGTTGAACTTGGCATTGATAATTTTATTGGGCTAGTCCTGTTGTGGTGCTTCGGCATGACCTGCAGCCTGCTGGCATTTGTGGGCGAACTGTGGTGCGTGCAGGTGGAAAAATTGTAAAAACTAGTAAATTATAGACAATTGTTTTTCAAATAAATTTGTGCAAAAATATATATATTCCTAAGCTTAGCTTTGTAACAGCAACACCTGATCAATCACACGTGTTATCAATGCATCCAATTCATTATCCGGCACTTGTTTCCACAGTTCCTGCAGTGTCTTATAGGCCATCTGTGCAGGACTCCCGACCGTGTTTGCAAGGTGTGTGCGCAGTGTCATAAAGAAGACCACGTCCGGTGCAATGGGACTGTAAGTGTCGCAAATGGTGTGCAGAGCGCGTGCTGAATTTGGTGGTATCTGCAAATGATCATAGTAGAAGATTAGAAAGCATTGGCTGCAAAAGGACGAAGGATCTACTCACATCGTTGAGATTTACAATGAGAAAAACGTTGCCTTCTCTGAGTTTCTTTTTGTACTGTTCAATGGGATAGCCGTAGTCATCGTCATTCTGGGTTTGGAAATCCTTCAGGCTCATTTCTATGGGTCGCTGTCCATCTACGTATTAAGAAGGGGCAACTGTGCATAAGGTAGGCGGATTAGGATTTGTAGCTGAATTTGGCTTACCAAAACATTTGGATGCTTCCATGGCAATATCGTTGATTAGTTTTTGAATTGGATATTCGCTGCTCTGATTCGTGTGCAGAAATAGATAGACATTGGGAGACTTTATCTTCTTGTTAAGCAGCAATTCAATATTGATGCTGAGCGCTTTCCACACATCCTCTGACTGCAGCGGCGGACGTTGCCGCAGTTCCTCAAACGCACAGCGTTTCACTTGAGGCTCCGATTTGAGCAATCGCGAGCATGCGAATAATGGCAATATGATAATAATAGCATATGGTATTAACTTGAACTGGGATTTTGACGGCTGAATGTTTGCAGATTTGGCAAGCGGCGGCTGGCTCTCGGCCCTCGGCGGAGCTGTAACTGATCGATTGGGTGTTGTTGCTGACGAAGGGCGACGTGGCTGCAGTGAATCGTCCTCGTCTGTATCCGACGTCGGCAATTCTTCGTGATCCGGCGTCTCGTCTGATTCAAGAACTTCGTTCTCATCGTCACTTGAGTTATTTTCCTCCTCGCGATAGTAGACGCTGCGTGTACCTTGGATATCGCTTTGACTCAATAAATTTGCTGTAGGAGAGCCGGAGCCACTGACTTTACGATGTGCATGTATTGAAGCTCGGCTCGTCATTTCAATATCCGTCCAACTGTTTGTTTGTTATTAATAAATCGTCAACTTTACGATGCCCGCGACGGTACTTGTTGGCTTGTCGAAGGCAAAAAAAAAAACAACATATGGCCACTGGAAACTTAACATTATGTTAAACTCCGATAGCAGTGGGCACTCTTGATTTTAACTACCGTTGCACATTTCACACTTCAACTCATATTTTAATCGATTGAACGAGTTCTTCTTACATATGGTTACAGTACAGTAAAACGGTACTTTGGAGGGTACTTTTGCGTTAAATAACTGATTATGTGAATTAACAATTGCTAACAGAGCTATAACAGTTGCCCAACGTAACATAAAATGTTTGTGCATTGGCAATGCAAGTCTAATTGGATATATGCATTTTCATATTGAAATGAAAACTTTCTTCTATGTAGCGTCTCTATAAAGATCGATACTTATATCGATATCAGAAAATTACACCTTACAAAAATTGTTATAAAAAAACAGTTGCAAGCTTAAATAAATTCGTTGTTTTATATTTATCATTTTGGCTTCGTTAGGTGGGAAAGAATAGTCTTTCCAAGACTATTTGCTTTTATTTATTAATTTCTTAACAACCGAGACCACAGAGTTGATCGAATAAATATATACATTATTTACATACACATAAAAGAAGTTTAATTTAAATTAGCCTAAGCATAACAATATTCAAGAATTTCACTCGGTTACCGATGGCACAGTGTTTAACGTTAAACGTCTTAACCGGCCCAGCACAAAGATCTCGTCAATCGCTCTTTTGGCATAGAATTTTTGATCTTCGGTAAGCTTGCGGTATTCTAAAGACCAGGTCTGTGCGTATATTGCCGACTCCTCCGCGCCGCTAACATCGTGCGACACAAAAACTTCAGAGAGACGTGAATTCGCGTTTGGAATGCTCGTTATGCCAACATTAAGTGGATCATCATCGCTTTTGGCTTGCTGGACAGGAACTCCCGTGTTAACGCCAGCATCACTTGGCTCAGCTCCAGCGCCCGCACCTCGGAGAGCAATAAAAGCGGCGACGTCTGTGGAGGTGGGTTTCTTATCTAGCTCGTCAATCATTGATTGCGCACCAGAGCTCTCTTCGTTGTCAACTTTAAGCTCGGCCTCAGCCTCCAACAAAATGTCTTCCACTGACATTTCTGCCTCATCATCTTTGAACCATTCCTTTGAGATATTTGCGTCTGCATATCCATTGCAGTAGGCTTGCTTTTTTAAGTATTGCAAATGACACTTGTGGCGTCGCAAATTTGTTGTGGATTTATGGGTAAACGACATTAGATTTTTGCATCCTATACAGTACAAGACGTGTTCCAATATTTTGCCGTCTTCTTTCTCAATCTTTCGATACACGCGCCATACAGTGCTGCGTGTGCTTTTATCATTTGTAGCAAGCTTGTAGATGCCGTTCTCAATTTTATCACGTATATCTTCGTGCTTGGCAGCCATGAGTAGAGAATTACCCTTGTTTGTTATTTGGCTAAAATTTGTTGTGATTGTTTTTACTAATGGCTTGTCTATATAGAGATGGTAAGCATCGAATGCAATTTGCATGCCACTATCGATTGTTACTGTCGATAACGTTACTGTTATTGATATATGCTAACATTGCTGTTAAGTTTATAAACTAATTAAAATAAAATGTAACAACAAAAAAAAACATTGTCTGCGAAAAGCAAAACGATTGATTAGCAAGAGTCACTCATTAATTTGTATATTATATTATAAAGAAAATATCGGCAATTGTGATGTTTAACTTGAACAATGTGGCAACGCTTTCAAAACGCACATTGCGCCGGCATATTTTTGTTTTTATTTTATTAATTTAATAAATTCGACTGAAATTAATCATTTTCAATGGCTGTTTCGTGCTTTGACTTTTTGGGCTTTCAAGTAAGTCACAGCATACAATTATTAGTTGCACAATATTACCCAGACTCAATTCTGCCATTGATAATAGGAGGCTCTAAGAAAGATGCGCGATGTGGACGATAAAATAATCTACGCTCTTAATGCTCTTCCTACGGAATCGTTCAAGGGACAAGTGAATAGTGAGAGCACTTGCCGCGATTTGTACGCCAAGCTGCAGCAGTCACATCTTGCACGGGTAAAAGAAAACATGTTAAATTTCTCTCAACTCCAATACATTTGGACTTTTTGATCCGGGCAGCAAACCAACATACGTAATTGCATAACCTTGTCGGCGACAACATTGAAGAAGCTACGCGAGCAGAGAGAAGCGCAACCCAATGATGTGGACACCGATAGCCAATTTAAGGCAGAGCAGCGGAAAGTACGTGCCAAAAGTTGTGTATTTGCTTATTGTTAAATTAAACATTTTGTTTTGTTGCCAGCTGAGAGTATTGCAAGCGGAACTTAATGTGGAAGATATTATCAAGGAACGTACATACAAAGCATTTAATGAACGCTGTAGAACCTATTTTCATGCTGGCCAATGAATTTGTAGGCTGACGGAGCTGATAACAGCGTGCAATGAAGGCAGTGCAGTAAATTGCTTAGTTGTAAGTGAAATTATTAGTAATATAAACAGACAGGTACTGCCTAGTAATATGTTACTAACTAACCGTGCTGTTTACAAGCATTTGGAACTTTATTTTGCCAATAAATACATAAAACAATAACGAATCATTTCACTTCCCGCAATCCGCAATTTCTTGTCATTCACCGTTTGGTAGGCTGTAAATCTTATGCATATCCCTTATCGGTAATCCTTTCGCCTGCGCCAGGGCGCCTAGCACAGTTTGGGTGGCATCTTTAAGATTGTTATATTCGTGTAAAAGTTGCATATGTTTTTGTTTTTGTTGTTGCAGAGCAGCTTCACTGATTATTTGCTCATTGGAAATTTCTCGCACTTTGGAATTGTTCATTGTTGGCGCTTTTTTTTTATTGTAATGCCTCGACTCTTGATATCGATATCGATATCGAAATTAACCAAGTTGCACAATCAGCTGTAGAGTGCAGTTAAATAAGTCTGGCAACCTTAACGTCCAACTAAAAACGTGTGGCGTATCGTGACTAAAATTTGCATTTGTGTTTTGTACTATAAATAGACGCTTAAAATTGGCAGATACACAGGTAAAGTGATAACAAATTGTGCTATAACTAGAACCAAAAGTTAAAAGTCTTGAACCCCAAGTAGTCAACAGCAAAAAGAGCAATAGTATGCAGCATTTGCTGACGCTGATCTAAGCCCATCACACATACACATACACGCGCCTACACTTGTATGCATGTCTGTATGTATTTACCATTAGAATGTGAAAGTGTTTGTCTTTGTGCAAATATAAAAGTACACATAAAGTGAATTTACGATATTAAGAATCAGCATGCATTAGCGCCGTTTCATTGCAATAATTCAAATGCAAGCTCAATTCCTAAAGAGAAGTGCGTAAGCTGATAACCCTCAGTGAATGTACCAAAAGGTTATAGTAAAATAAAGTGCAAGAGTGGTCGACTTTGCTATGCTCTATAAAATAAAACTAAAAGCTTAAAAGATCCCAAAACTAGGTAGTTAATTGTCATCAGCTTACATGCATGTTGAGCACTAAGCATATTTTTTATATCTATTGTCTATTATTAATATTAATTGTCTGTGAGTTGTATCATAACACGCGTAACACAGCTGATTCCTACACCTTTGTGTATGTGTGTGCGTAAGTTTTTCCAATACAAATTATTCACCTCATCAAGGTAGGCACTGATTAGGACTTGTTTGAGATTGTGTGTGCGCAATTTGAACTCAACAGAACTACAATAAAAATTGTCAACCGTTAAGCATAAAAATTAAAAAATAAAAATATATATATTATTTTCTGTCTTTGGCAGCACTCTTAATATCAACAGACATAAAATGTCCGCCACACACAAACAGCGCTATAAAAATGCCGCTCTGAGCTCAACAGAGATGCGGCGCAGACGCGAGGAGGTTGGCATACAATTGCGTAAAACTAAACGTGAACAGCAGCTGTCGAAGCGTCGCAATGTTGTCCTGGACCCAACACCGGCCACCTCGCCGGGTGCCGGCATCGATAGCAGCAGCAGTGGCGAGTTGCATCTGCAAAGCGGCGACATGCACATGGCGGACAGCAGCAGCCATGGCATGGTTATGGGCGGGGGAGGAATGCAATCACATGGGTCGGGTCAGCCCGAGGGCTTTGTGCCGCAATCGATTATCAATGCAGAGATGATTCAGATGCTATACAGCGATAAGGAAAGCGATCAGCTGGAGGCGACGCAAAAGTTTCGCAAGCTGCTGTCCCGCGATCCCAATCCACCAATCGAGGAGGTTATACAGAAGAACATTGTACCTCAATTTGTGACATTCTTGCGCAATAACACAAATGCAACGCTACAGTTTGAGGCTGCCTGGACACTGACAAACATTGCGTCGGGTACCTCGCACCAAACCAAGATTGTCATCGAGGCCGGTGCAGTGCCCATCTTCATAGAGTTGCTGTCCAGCCCCCATGACGATGTGCAGGAGCAGGCCGTGTGGGCCTTGGGAAACATAGCTGGCGATTCACCCACGTGTCGCGATCATTTGCTTAGCTCTGGCATTCTGTTGCCGCTATTGCAGTAAGTAATGCAATAAAGATCAGCTCTACGATTAACTTAATTCTTTTTGCAGCGTGCTGAGCACTTCCGACCGCATTACCATGATACGCAATGCTGTTTGGACGCTATCAAATTTATGCCGCGGCAAAAATCCGCCAGCCGATTTCTCCAAAATAGTACACGGACTGCCCATATTAGCGCGCCTTTTGGATTACACTGACGTGGATGTGCTCTGCGATACATGCTGGGCCATTAGTTATCTATCGGATGGTCCCAACGACAAAATTCAGGCCGTCATTGATGCGGGCGTCTGTCAGCGGCTTGTCGAGCTGCTACTGTATGTTGTGCTGTTAACTAATAGTTTTATGCGATAATGTGATAACTTGTTACATATTTCTTAGGCATCCTCAGCAGAATGTGAGCACGGCGGCACTACGCGCTGTGGGCAACATTGTCACCGGCGATGATCAGCAGACCCAAGTGATATTGAGCTATAATGCCTTGCCGTGCATCAGCCTTTTGCTATGCTCACCAGCCGAAACTATTAAGAAGGAATCTTGCTGGACCATATCAAATATTGCGGCTGGGAATCGCGAGCAAATTCAGGCAATTATCAATGCCAATATATTCCCACAGCTAATGACCATAATGCAAACGGCCGACTTTAAAACACGTAAAGAAGCCGCTTGGGCCATAACAAATGCAACCAGCAGTGGCACTTCGGAGCAGATACATTATTTGGTTCAGGTTGGCTGCGTACCGCCCATGTGCGATTTTCTCACTGTAGTCGATTCGGACATTGTCCAGGTAGCCTTGAACGCCCTTGAGAATATTCTGAAAGCAGGCGAAAAGTATCAAGTGCGCCCCAATCCCTATGCAATGACCATTGAAAAGTGCGGCGGTAAGATGAACTGCAAGTTGTTATAATCGAAATAATAATTGATTTTGAACATTCAACAGGTCTCGACAAAATTGAATACCTTCAGGCACACGAGAATCGCGATATTTATCATAAATCATTCTACATCATTGAACAATACTTCGGCAACGAGGAGGAGGACACGCGTGTTGCGCCCGTTGCTGGCACCCAGCAGTACGAGTTTAATCCGCACAATTTGCCCGACAGCGGATTCAATTTCTAGCATGACAACAGCAAACACAGAAAATATAACCATAAACAAATGGTAATCTCTGGCCGCATTCAGAGTCTAGTATCGGAATGTGTGTAGAGCCGGGTACATCGACAGGCACTGACAACATCGCAGTGTGCAGTCATTAGCATTTAAGTCAGATAGCCCCCGACATTTGTTTAATGTTTTTTTTTAACGTTGTTTGTTTTCTTTTGTTACATACTCTATATCATTATTATTATTATTATTTGCGGAAGCGTTCCGAAAATTCGATGTGTGCATATGGTCCAGGACCACAAATCCTGCATTTTAATCCAAATACGTTACAGCCACAGATGTATACAAGTTGCAAAATATACATATGTGTGTATGTATGTATGTGAATACAAGATCGATTTTTAGCTAGCTACATTAATAAATCCCCCTATATTTTATGTATATGCGATGATTTCCTTATGACTGTAAATATTTTCATTATGCATATAAGTACACACATACCCAGATATATCTTCATACTTAGTTCGAAGCCGGCTTTGGTGTTGTTATTAATACATATTTACGTATGTATACCTGCATCTACATTAAATTTATAACGAATAACTTGAAAAGTTTTGATTTTGTTAAAAAAAAAAAAATTGCATACCGTAATATTCGCTTAAGTTAAAAATATAAAACTTTTATTTAATATAAAATGTCACTCAATAAAGAACAAGAATCAGACCAGGACGAAAAGAAAATCTTGGTTGTACTATATTTTGCTATGCACATTGATTCTTAGCAGTTGGTGTACAAATTTAACTTTTGCATTGTATGAAATCGGCGATCGTCGAAATCAAAACCAACAACTAACTCGCTATATACTAACAAAATGTGTAAAACAAACTATACTAGGAAATTAAATAAAATAAAATCATTTACAAGCATGTACCGTATGTTTCAATTCCAAATAATTTTAAAGAATTTATTTTTTATAGGAACCTATTTTAAAGCATGGAATACAACTATAAAATATCGACTGACATATATCGATATCGATTGTACATGTAGACTGCAAGTGCGATAACACTTTTATTGTGTTCCGGCTGGCGGATGAATCAGTTTGTTATTTGATATTCAACATGTCGCTTGGTGTTAATAGAAGCTACCAAATAATCAGCAGATGGATGCACAAAACTCTAACAGATTGGCAAATTGCACTCACAGCAAATGGCGCTGATGTTTTGATTTACGAAGAATACGTTGATTTCACAACCGATGTTAATCATTTTGAGTTATTTATTTTAATGTTGAGTAAACATTGCCCGAACTTGACGCACGTTCGTTTATTGTTTTCTGGTGAACGTAGCGATTGTTTTGACGGTGGATTTGTGAGATCTCTTTTACAATTGCCAAACCTAATCTGTTTAAGTCTCTTTGATACCCCTGCCTACGAAAGTAAGTTTTTAAACCGATCATATTTAACATTATTCATTTTTTTCTGTTATCAGCCTGTTAAAATTACAGTTAGCTGACTAAATAAACGGTATTCCACAATTCCCATAAAGCTAATAAAAACGTTCTCTTTTATTTATTTTTTATAGTTTTTGCTCTAAAGACGGACTTTAATCAATTGACAACTTTAAAATTAGTTGGAGTCGATGAAAATGTCACTGCTAGCGATTTTTCTAACATATTTGCTTTAATGAAGAATTTACAAAATGTGATCTACGAGTACAAATCCTTTAGAGATAATCAAATTGTTGCCGCTTTGTCAAATGTATCAAAATTAAAATCCTTAACGTTGTACTATGCGCCGGAAAGCGAATGTAAGAGAGAGAGAGAGAGAGAGTAATATTATGTAAGAGTACGAATAATTAAACTATATTTTTTAACACTTTCAGTAAAGCAATTGAAGAATTGCAATCAACTGGAAATACTTCATCTCTACAATATTGATGTTGCACTGGGTCCAGATGATTTCATAGAAATATTCAAAGCAAAGCGGAACTTACATACTTTATCGTTGTGCTTTATAGATAACAAACTGTGCAAACAGTTAACCCAACTGTATGCGTATTGCCCAAAGCTAACTTATCTGACGATTAATCAGCAATTGGAAAACCTTGGTGATATTGTAAATCTAAAGTATCTAAGATTTGAATCGAGCCTACCAATCATTGAAACAAGAGAATTGGTCGACAGTTTATCCATAAAATATGCCGATCGACTTGAAATTTTGGATATCAGCATGGCTTCAAGTCATACGCATACGTTGGAAATTTCTAAGCTGAAATCCCTGAAGGCGTTTTTGTGTTCGTCCTGGCCCAGCAACATGTATCCATGTCTTGCCAAGCTAGAACATCTTCAGTTTTTCTCTATTGAAACGTATTCAGAAAATGTTTACGAAAGCGATGCACTTATAAACATGATACTCAGCTGTAAAAATCTGGCATATCTGCGCTTGCCATACAGGGCGCAACTTTTCGAAGAGCCTATAAGAAATTTATCTTATTGTCTGAGCAGAAATAGCATCCGGCCGGAGTCCCCATTTGTGTTGTCCGTGTGCGGAGGGAGCGCAGTGGCTGATATAGAAAAAAAGGTAATGGACTCTATTAAATGGCTGTGAAATTTGTGTAATTATGTAATTATTTTAGTTAACATTGCATACTCAAAGTAATTTGCTGCAATTGGATTGGAATGGAAATGTTTTTGCTTCCAAACTGAAGGACCTAATCACTTCCTTATGTCCTTCGGAAGCGTGCGCTGACCATGGAAGGATATATAAAAATCCAGTCAAAGCTGTTGGTGATCCTTTTGCTCCAGAGGATAGTTGGTTGTCAAATATGAATTATAAATTGGCTCTTGCAGCATGCTCTAAAAGATTTAATCTCGAATACGACTTGGAGCTTGTTAACAGATGCCGAGATTTTGCCATCAGTAAAGCTGAATATGAATTAACTAACATGCAATTTGCATTTAATTTTAAATATGATGCAATTGATGAGCAAAATGTGTATCCAGAGGAACGTAGCTAAAATAAATAAATAAATAGCTAGAAAACTATGAAGCCGCACACTAAAAAGTGTTGTAATTTCAGCAAATAGATCGTAAAACAAATTATGTTCATTGGCAACACTAACAGTTAAACACATTTAAAAATGGCTGATCGATACGCTGTGGTGGCAGGTCGATCTACGACTTATCGATAACAGCGATACTAGACAATCCAGCGGCTACTTCGATTGGGCAATAACTTTGAATCAAACTGTATTTGGTTAACATAACGGAAAAATATTCAACCATTATTTTTTTAATCCAGTTTTTACAAATCTTATTAAGAATATAATTCAATTTAAATTATGCATATAATGTATTGATGTCATTTTCCAGCTGGACGAATTCAGCTGCGTTTCACAAACCGCACTTTGTACGGTTTGGGCGTTAGTGTGATGCCCGGTTGCAGGATCAGCGACGGCGTTTCACCCTCTGGTAGGACAATGCTAAAGTGCTGCACGATCCGTACAAGAAACGAAAAGATACAGGCGCGCGCCAACGCATCGCCAAGACAACGGCGCCGTCCCAGACCGAAGGGCATAAAGTATTCGTCCTTGCAGCACTTTCCGGCTGCATCGATGAAACGCTCCGGCCGAAACTCGTGTGGCTCGCTCCAATGTTGCTCGTCCAAGTGCACTGACCGCAAGCTAATCAGTATTGTGGCATTCTTGGGTATATCAAAGCCGCCCAATTTGGTGGGCCAGAGCGCGCGACGCGGGCCCGTTATGGGAGTTATGTGAAAGAAGCGTTGCACCTCCATGATGAACGCGTCCATGTAGTGGAAGGACTCACGCCGACTGAGATGAGGAAATGCATCTGTCTCTGCGCCAACAGTCTGCACATTGGCGGACACCTCAGCATGCAGCTGTGCCTGCACATCCTTGCGCATGGCCAACACCATTAAGGCCAAGTTGATTGTATTGCTGGTCGTCTGCGAGCCCGCAATAAAGAAGTCCAGTATTGTCATCACCAGCTGTGTCTCGTTGAAGCTATTGGTGTCCTGTCGCTGACTGTTCATCTCCTGCAGATAGGCGAAGATGAGATCGTTCTCGGGCAGCTGCTCTCCACGTGTCTGGCAGTCTTCCAGGCGACGCCTGTGCTCTCCGATGGTTTCCATAAAGAAGCCGTGGAGCTCTGCATTCAGCTGTCGAATAAGATTATAGCCCGTGCGATCGGGTGCCACATGACGCAGCCATGGAAACTGAGCCAGCAGTCCACCGCATATGTCGAATAACTTGGACCGTTGATTCATCAGCTCCAGCAGCCGGCGCAGTGTACCATCTTCATTGCTGGTTATTCTCTCGCCCGCAATTAGGCACCAGAGCACATTGAGCACGCTCTGGGCCAACCAATTGACGGGCTCTATGGGCGCTGCTTCTGTGCGACTAAGTTGCTGCAGCAGCTCCTCGGCCTCGTGCTCGATTTGCTGCTCCATTTGGCTGCGGCCGTAGCCCACCTGACGCATTTGTTTCATGGCAAAGTTACGATGCTCGTACCACAGTTGTCCATCCGTGCACGTGATGCCCTTGCGTGTGCCCATGGTGCGCAGGCGCAAAAAGAAGTTATCCGGCCTGCCCTCAAACACCTCCTGCAGCTGCACCTCACGCACCAGTTCATGGCCCAGCGCCACCACCACATACTCCTGGCCCAGCTTCAATCCCAGCAGCTGGCTCTGATAGCGCTTCGCCCACTGTTCAAATAATATGTGCTGACCGCCAACGGCACGCGCCTCTCTGCGGAACTGCAACGTATTGCCCAGCCAAGGCAAGAAGCCAGGACCTAAAAGTAAAGTAAGGCTCTTAATTAATTACTAATTCTTAAAATGAATGTGCCTTTTGTCTTATTTACAGTCTTGTGCTCTCCTAGAGATAAAGATGCGAACTATACTTATATTTAGAGTCTTGCGCTTTGCTTTACTCAGAAAAAGGGGCAATAAAAATCCCTTAAGCAATAGTTTAACGAAAGATTATTCATTTAATCTTATCGCTCGAACTATTTGGCACTACCGAAAGTTTGGCAATCTGTTTAAAAAGCAAAATCGACAACCAAATCTCAATCTTTATGGTGTGGCTCATAACTTATCAAACATAGAACTATTAATATATATTTAATTTGTCGTCTTTAAATACATATAATAAGTTTATAGGGATATTAATTCAGTATAAATAATAAGTAATACGTAAAAGTATCCACTTAATATACAACTAAATAATCAGTCCAAATATAATTAATTAATTCTCGTTTGTTGCATAAGATTTAGGCTTGGAAAATGCATATGTAAATCAGTCTGATGTCAAGACACCTGCTCAAAATGTTGGGTTGAGGTGTCAATCATCTGGTTGTGTGACAATTTTATCAATGAAACCCATTTGAAATGCCAGACGCGTGTCGCCGTCGCCGTCGTCGTCGCCACCATAGCTGGTCGCCGTGGGCTGTCCATTTCCAGTTGGTCAATGCGAATGCTCTGGACTAGCTGGACAGGGAGCAGGTGAGGCAGGTCGAGTGTATCGATGCCATTGACAAATGGATTTGTATGACAGATATGCATAAACAAATTTGAAGCCAGGTAATTAGAGCTACAATCGGGTGAAATGCAATCCCATAGAAAGCCAAGTTCTACACAAGATTAAAAGCTTGCCTTGCATGTTCTCTAAGCTCGAGTACTTCCTTTATGACAGTTAATCAACAAAATTTATTGAATGAATGAACTTCCGTTTGAAATATAGAAATTTGATACTGATATCCATAGAGCTGTGCGAATCTTTCAAGTGAATTCCATTTGACTCACCTGGTGGAAAATTGCGTGGACGTCTTATTGAGTTCAATAGCGAATATATCAGAAATCCAATTAGAATCGTAACCAGAAATATGACGACACTCATCTTGACAATATCTGTAAACTAATTGCAGGCACTTGGAAAAATACACGATACACACAATTATCACGCGTCCGCACACCTCGCACGCTCGATGCCAACTAAAACTAAAACCAATTGGATAAGCGCACGCGAGCCGAGAGAGCGTCGAGAGAGAGACGTGCAAAAGCCACAAGGCGACGCACAAACACACACTCATTAACTGGCGCCGGCTGCGTGTGAATGTGGGCCCATTGATCGTACAAAGTGCTGATAAAGGCAAACACACAGCAAGAACTATTAGATAACTACAGTTATTCAATATAAGCGCTCTCTTATATAAAGAGAGCCTCTGAATAACGCTCTCTTAGCAATTACTTAAAGCGGTTGTTCAAAGTCTACAAAATTGATAATCAATTGAAAATTAAAGTATTCTTTATAATGCATGCAAAATATGGAATTTAGAAATATCAATTAATCTATAGGAACGTCTGATCAGGAACAACTTTGGATACTTCATTTAAATATAAATTTAAACATTTATAAATAAATCGATACAATATAAAAACGTCATATTTATTGTTTAAAACCTGAAGCCGGAATTAAATTAAGAAGCTCTTCAGAACGAAGGGTATATTGGAATCGATTTCATTTGAAAAGGTTTTCTTTGCCTGACTATTTTCTAGAGGAATACGGAGTTCTTGGCAATAATGTAGTCAATGTCATTTGTCCAGGGATTCTTGAAGGCGCGCCATTCGCTCTGGAGCTGCACGTAGCCATTGTCCTTGCAGCGAAAGCGATAAACCTGCGTGGTGACATTCTCGTGCAGTTGCATAACCATTTTATGGGATTCGACCAGAGCGGAAATGTCCTCGTTGTGGAAATACTCGTAAAAGCTGGTGCCCAGTATTTCTTGGGGCAGATAGCCAATCACCAGCGTGGCACTAAAAACCAAATACATGTGTAAAATGTGGATATATTGCAATTGCTATGACCTACCGTTGATCAATAAATAGGAATTTGCCCTCCGCAGAGTGGCGCGATATGAAGAGCACATGCCGGATATTCGGATTGTGCTCCAACGAGGTTGGCATAGTTGTCTTGAGCACGTTGGTTGGGATGCGTCCGATGGCCACGAGGCAGGCGAGATTCGTTGTTTGATCATCACTGTCGCCATCCTGCTCCTCGTCCTTGATCGGCATCCACGATTTCAGATAGCCAGTGCACTGTATTACCTGATATTTGTGGTCCATGCTCAGTTTCGATTTGCGTTTTGAGGAGCTGCGTGAACTCGAAGATGTGTCCGACTCCTCCTTAATTTGATCGTTTGCGGCACGCAGTTTCATGCGACAGAAAAAGGAACGACGCCCGCCCGGACAAAGGCGGCACAAGCTCTGCGGCACATCCGTCTTCACGGGCAACATGGCTGCGTGAAAGTGATTAGAATAATGGCAAGCAGTTTATTGGGTATATTCACTTTTGGCATCGATAAGTCGCTCCCTGGGACACTGCTCCAGTGAGGACAGCTGCTCCTTGACCTTGCTTATGTCCTTGGGATGCAGCACATCGAACCAGCTCTGGCCCAGCAGATCGCCCGGAGTGCAATTCAAGACGCTCGTTACAGACTCCGACACATAGAGAATGCGTCCGCGATCACAACCGACAACGAATAGAAATCCCTCCGAGGCTTGCAGTATGATCATCTTAAGCTCCTGCTCGGACAGAAAACTTGGCCTATAACTAGCCCCGTTATAGGGATGTAGGCCGCCGCGTATACCCCGCAAATGCTGCACAGCCATACGTAAGACTGTCAGTTTGTCCAGCTTGCGCTGCATCGCATAGCACATTGGGATCATGGAGGACAGTTCGTTGATGTAGGTGTTCATCTTATCGCGACGCCTTTTCTCAATTTCACTGTGATTTTGCCTGCAAACAAAAACTGTTATGTTAATATATATAGTTGTCCATATAGTTAGCGATTTCATACTTGCGATTTTCATCTGTGCGCATCGATTTTTCGTCATCAAATGGCTCATCTTCCAGCTCACTCCGGTTTTCACTGTGGGATGGAATTAATTTTTGTTATTGTTGTACTCTCAGGTATCAAACCTTATTAAACATCAGCAATAAAAGCAACTATACAAATACCTGTCGAAACCAGCAATAAATCAAAAGAAAAATCCACCCCATTAAGCCGAAAATAATGAGGCAACTGTTGCTCCGGCTACTTACATCCCCCGTTCCAAGAACACACATACACTTACTGAATTTGAATGTGTGTGCGTGTGCGTGAATATGTGTGTGACAGACAGGGAATCACACACACACACACACACACTTATAAATACGTAGGAAATGTATAATTTGCAATGCGCAAGCAATAGAACTTACATATCTTGCATTGTTTTGCCTGCAAAAACTTCGCAAACGCGTTGGCCTCAATTTACGGCAATATTATTTAGATATTGTTGTTGTTTACAAACAGTTGTAAGAACCATCAACAGAACCCAAACGCAGCACGAACACGACAATTGAGAACTATCTGCAGTTTGCCAAATGCAAGCTTTTGCTCCGTCTTAAGCTTTTCTGCCTGTCTGGCAACGCGCAGCGTCGCTGCATTGAAAGCTCGTTGCATTTGCAATGCAAAGCTCACAATTTATGAATTTTTTATTTTATTTGTTACAAATATTTTCTTTTTATATATAATACTAAAAAATAAACAACAAAACACATTTTTTTTATATATGATACATTTTGTCCAAACATATAGTTATAACCTGCATATAACGATCCCAAAGACAACGCGTCTCTTGGTCCCTGTAGAACAAATGCTTTAGTTTGACGAAAACTCATATAAAACAAGTTCCACTCACCTGGATATTTCCAAATCCAGAACGCTCTGTGTTATTGAAGACAGAAATTTGTTAACCTGCTCGCGATTCCAGCCGTTTTGACGCCAAGGATCTACCAGTCTCTCGCAAAGATCCACAAATAGATCACGCAGCTCACGATTTCGATGCAGATTACACGCAATGGTGATAAGCGCACGCCAGTAAGAACGGAAATTGCCATCCAATTCGTGAAAGACTCGCTCCAGAAGAACAGGCTTTAGCCGCAAGCAGACAAGACTGCAAACCATACAAATCAGTTAGCAAAAAAAGGTAAGTAAATATCATATTAGGAGCACACACTGTTTAATTTCCTTTTCCTTGTCCAGCAAACAGCGCAGTTCACGTAAGTCCAACAGAAATTCCTTGTCCATCTCCGTGTCATAGTACTCGGGTCCAGTGTGCTAATAAGATGACAAACTTATTAGGCTTTCATTATTTTGGACGCAATGGTTACCTGGTAAGTGTAGGTCCAGTAAATCATGATGGCGTGTGAACAAGTGAGCAAATCGCTAAAGCTCAAATATTGCAATTTCTTCTTGGACGTTTCAAAGCGCAGGCAGGCCAGAAATACGATGCAAGCATATTTCCTGAAATAAACGTTGGAAGTGGAATAAATGCTTGACAAATATAATTGGTGTTTACTTGGCCAGTTCGTTCGATATGAAGAAATGCTGCATAATATTGTTGGTCAAGGTGCCGGGCAGCTCCTCAACAGCCCGGAAAATGCGTTTCACATTGTCAAATTGTCGTCTGCTCGGAGAGAAATATGTGAATAATATTATAGAATCCATCCATGCAATCACATATAACGTACCGACAGGACTTGAGCTTAACACACGTTTTTTCGCCCACCTCGTCCAGATCCTTGCGATAACGTGAGCTCAGCTTCTTTCCCAAGATCTCGCGTGCCACAACATCATCGATCGAATAGTATTTCTCAATGATTAGGTCTCGCGTGTGATGCTCCAGTTGGAAACAGGACTGTTCCATCAGTTTTGTGGGCGCATGCAAATAAGTTTCAATCAGTGAATAGGTTCGATAATGGTCCAGAACATCGGATGCAATCAAGTCGATTGGCGCACCCATTGAATGACCAAATCCTTTCTGTTTCAAGTAGCAGACAGCTTCGCTGGCTTTGGAAAGAAGGTTTCAAAAAACACTTTTAACAAAAATAAAAGCATGTATGAACGACATACAAGAAAATCCTTCGATCCATAGTTGGTAAATTTCTGGATCCACAAGGGTGTAGTTGCTTATAAAAACGTCAACATCAGCCTACGAAAAACAATGTCAACTAAATTGATATCCATTAATTTAGTTTTTAACATCAAATTTACCATTTTTGTTATTATTATCAGAGTCTTATCGAACTGCTTTCAGTTCGATAGACCGACGGACTGAACTAAATGAGCGAACAAAGTAATTGACTAGTTCGATATTTTATACCGCTTTTGTCGCGATTTGATTCAGATCCTAAAGCAACACATGCACAAACTAAACATTAATGTTTTTGTTCCAATTGTAACATCTATAAATATATTCTCAATATAAATACTCTTCTTTATTTTAGGATATAGTATATGTTTAGTATATTAATTACGCTAAATTATTTTTCCAGAATTCGAATCGGATCACAGTTCGTCGTAAAGGAACTATAGAGAACATGAGCATGAATCGATTATAACAAGTATTTTTTAGTGACACTGTAGTAGCTGCAAGGTCGCAGTCAACCTAAGCTATTCGATTAATAAATAATACAATGCGCATGCCCAGTTAGTCGATTTCAAAAATATAAAAAAATATCTAATTGACAACCGGCAGATAGTATCTGCATGGATAATAATTTCTTTGATTTCAGTACATGTAATGTAAAATAAATGTTGTTTATGTATTTGTTCGATATACTAAATAAATGCGCACATCGAATATAAATCGAATGCGGTAAAAATAATATATCGATTATATCGATACATCGTTGTGTTTCTTATATCGCTGCGGATATCAACTTTTAAGAAATGTAAAAATGTAAATTGCAACATATAAAATAACTGTAAATAGCCAAAGGCAACGTGCACAACACAAGTTCAGTGTGAATGGTGTGCGCGCAAATCAATTGTAAACGCAACAATAACCAAAACAGCAGCAACAACAACAACAGGAACAACAGCAACAGTAACGACAACAGACGTCGTAGTCGTAGCCCAATTGCAATTGCAACAATTCGATGAACAACTTCACATTCATATCCAACAAACAGAAAAAGGAAACCAATAGAAGCAGAAGAAGAAGAAGTGAATTTGTTTTGTCGTGTTGTTGCGGTGCAGAATGGAACAGGATTCCTCAACTGAACTGCATTTGAGCAGAATACGTGAAGTGAAAGATTTGGCCGCATTAAACGACGACGTGCGCGATGTTGTGAAAGAAGAGGTCACATTAGAGAATCACCATCATCATCAGGTAAATCAACACACAAAAACTTACTCTGACTGGCGTTGGCGGCAAGGGTGGTTCGTTGGTTCGTTCGCCAGTTGGTTCCTTCGTCTGTTCGTTCATTCGTTTTCGTTGGATGCCCGCGCAGCCAACGCGCAGTTGTAGAACGCGCTGCCTACTTGTGTATGTGTATGTGTACGTGTACGTGTACGTGTGTGTTTGAGTGGGGATGTGCATGTGTATGTATGTGTGCCTCTCTATAGAACAAGTGGTGTATGAACGGAAGGGGGGGCGGCGGCGGCATGCTGTTGGCCTGGTGAAAAGGGGAGGCGGAGGCGGCGCAACAAAAATGCGCGCGGTGCTTGCGCCCTACACAGCCCACAGTGACAGTTAGAGTCTCAGAGCCAGAGCAAGAGCCCGCCACCACCATCACCAACACCACCACCACCATCCCAGCCAACTCCAAGAACGTCAGAATTTGTGTGTGGCGCAAATTGTTGTGTATACCGATTTTCATTTTTCCATGCTGTGTTGTTTACTTACACAAACGAAATTTTCTTTGATTTCTTCCATGTAAAATTAATAATAAAATACAAACGTAAATTAAAATACAAAATAAATTACAACTAACAATTGTCGTAAATGTTCGTGTGACGGAAAATCAAACAAACAAACAAACGACAACGGTACGCAACGGAACGCCGTAACTCTGTGACTCTGTAATGTGCGCTATGGTAATGCAGTTGGATACGAAAGTTCGCATGGTCACATCCTCCTCAAACGACAACAGCGGCAGCGGCGGTGTCGGCGGCGGCGGCGGCGGCGGCGGTGCAAATGGCGGTGGCGGCGTTGTATCAGTGCCCGTATCACTGCCCATCGGCTCAATGATAACTGGCACGGCCTTTAATGTGATTACGCCCGATCAGCTGCCGCACTTCAAGCCGATGCTGTGCGTCGACAACAATGGCTACCTGTCCAGCAGCACGGTCAGCATGGGCAGCGACCTCAAAACGATTGTAATACAGCAGCAGCAGCAGCAACAGCAGCAGACACAGACGAGCGTCAATAGCGGCGCGGGCAATACAAACACCACCGCCACAAACACCATTGGACTGAATCACGATGGCTCTGGTAGCAATAATAGCCATGACAGCATCGGGACACTCGAGCATGCTGCTGGCGGCGGCGGTGGTGGCGGCAACACAACTGGCTCCACTGGCTGGGCGGAAACAACATCCAGTACACAGCACATGGAGGTCTTCCAGATACGCTGTAAAACCACCTCCGCCGAACTGTATCGCAGCAAACTGGGCTCCGGTGGCCGAGGGCGTTGTGTCAAATATAAAGACAAATGGCATACGCCCAGCGAATTTGAGCACGTGTGCGGTCGCGGCTCCAGCAAGGATTGGAAACGCTCTATCAAATATGGTGGCAAATCGCTGCAGTCCCTCATCGATGAGGGCACGCTTACGCCGCACGCAACCAACTGCAGTTGCACAGTCTGCTGTGACGACGAAGCAGGTGAGTCAGGTGAGAGATGCATACTATCAAACAAAACAAAACAAAACAGAAAACAAACCCACTCGGTTATTTCCAACAAACATAGTCCAAAATAAATATCAAATGCCATCAGCAACTATCTTGTACTGAACAATTTCTAAGCTGAGAAGCTTTCTTATTCTAAAATTCTTAATTTTACCCAAAACTAAGGCCATTAACTTTCTAATATGTTTGGCAAGAAAAGGGGTTTCAAATCAGAATCATCTAAGGAACTTTTCAACTAGTTTCGAACAAGAATTGAGGCAATTCATAATTCTTATTATTGAGAAATTATAACTCATTTGTGGGACTTGGAAAATACCCATATAAAGGCATAGGCATACAAAAAGGAATTTTCAGAAATAAGAGTTTGTATCAACTCCGACTAGCTTAAATCGGAATTTAAACCGAGTTCACGAAAGTGGCCAATTTGATACAGATAAATAGATCCAAATATAAGAGTTGATGCCCGAGCACATTAACATCATTTTTTTGGGACGGTTTTCTTATCTGTGCCAGCACACGGCAAACAATTATATTAATACCGGCAAAACTTGTCTTACAGCTTCCGGTCCTGTGCGTCTATTCACGCCGTATAAGCGACGAAAGCGAAATCAAACCGATCTCGATGTGGAACCTGGGCCCAAACGCAAACGCAATACACATAGCAACAATAATAATAACAACAATAATAGCAACACTAACAACAACAACACAAGCGGTAGCAGCATCAACAACAACAACAACAATAACGTGGACCCAACGCAAGCAACCGCAACAAGTGTTGTCGACGATAATAACATGTTTTTAGCCGAAGACAACATTACGTCCAAGGATGAACCGTGGGCGGCGCTCAATGACAGTTTAGACACCTCCACCGAGCTGGTTGACCAAACGCAAATGGGCAATCCGTACGAGCGCGAAACGTTTGTGGTTAACATCAACGATACGGGCTCCATTGCCGTGCTGGATAGCAGTCAATCGATGAAGAACATCGAGCACGTTTACTGCACCATGGTGAAGGCAACTAACGATTTTAAACGCCTGCTCAACGACATGAAGCAGAACTACGAGCGACGCATCGAGGTTCTGCAAAAGGAACGCGATGCGGCGGTATCAGCGATGCGTGTCCAGGTCCATACAGACATCGATGATCCGAATATATCGGGCTCATTACACGGCAACGAGATCATATCGGCAAAGAAAGTAAGAGCACATATTTGGTTACCATTTTAAATATGACAAAAACTAAATTTTGTTCTCATTGGTATTATTTGCAGTGCGCCAACTGCAATCGGGAGGCGCTGGCCGAGTGCTCGCTGTGTCGAAAGACGCCGTATTGTTCGGAATTTTGCCAGCGCAAGGATTGGAATGCTCATCAGGTGGAGTGCGCAAGGAATCCACAAACGACAACGCAACAGGTCATGTTATTGATCGATGATCAGTCCTAAGCAACGTAACGAATTGTACATACAAATTTTACTACTAATTAAATATATGATTATGCAAGGCCCCCCCCCCCCCCCCCTCCACTACCCATTATCCCAATCAGATAAACGAATTCCCTGTTCCAACCAGGTGCACATGTGTCGCATGTGTCCAGCTCCTTAGCAAGCCCTCCCATTAGACTTATGTCCTATTATAATGTAATTCTTAAAAGTACATATAACTATATAAATATATATGTATATATATTTATATATACATTTTACTATCGACCGTAGAAAACAAAACAAAAACAAAATAATAATCAGAAGTTTTGTAGCAAGCGTAAATCAAAGCAAGAGTCCAAAACTTGGGCTTCTTGGGCATAGCGTAAATGGAAAAGTATAGCTGCGATTTGATAGAATGCAACAAAATCCGATAACTTTAACGTGTAATTCAATTTAAATTAAATTTATAAATAGTTGCAAAGCGCATAGCATAACTAACAATGTCCCGCCCCCAAATCCGAAAGAGCTCCCTCCCCCCCACTCAAATCATACTTTTCTCTGCTTGACAAATTTTTGCATGAAACAAAAGTAAAAGTAAAAGTAAAAACAAACAAAAAAAAATAATAACAAAACCAAAAGCGAAAGCGAAAAATAAGCAGAAATACAATACATATTCGTCTATGTATACATTTTTCATTAGACACTAAGCACATAGTTAAACTTTTAACATTTTACGATTATAATTTTATGGATCTACTGCCCGTCGTTACAAGCATCCAATAAAGATTTCAAAAAAAAAAAATTAAATAAAAAATAAAATAAAAATAAATAAAAACGAAAGATGTGAAGAAAACCAAACAAAACACAAACATTTAATTACAAAAACATTTAATTATTAACAAATTACATTGATGTGTGTAAGTTTCCGTGTCGTTGTGCTACTTTTTCCCGCCTTCCATTGTAAAGATTCTTGCCCCCCCCCCCCCCCCCCCCTTCCCCCACCCACTCGTAAGAAGCTGTAACCATTTCAAGTAGTACGTAGTCCATATGCAAACACATTCACATATACTTATGTATGTAGTATATATATAATACATATATATAAATATCTTTAAACTAGCTGTATATTCCGGTTCACACAGTCACAGCGGACACACACACACACACACACGAGCACAACCAATTGCAATTAAAACAAATTTTTAATAGATATTACATATCAGTTAGAGTCCGTTAATAATTCGAAAGCAATTCTTAGCGAATTTGAAATCTTTGTTTTCAGATGTCTGTAACGTTTTTTTCTAAAAACAAATACAAACACAATTACAAGAGCAGAACAAGCAGAAAGAGAGTGCAATGGAAGAAAAGAAAAAATATATATATACATTTAAATGTACAACGCTTACTTTTTGTCGTATTCTTTGTGCTGATTATTTGTTTGTTTTTAGTTTTTTTTTGCGCATAAAATATAAAAGGTAAGTACTTCAGAGTATCTTACAGGATTTCCTTGTTTGCCAATCTTCTTCAAGTATAGCATAGCATACTTTTCGGAACGTACGCAAAAAACGTCAATGCATAAGTTGTGTGGGCTTAAGTTTCCGGTTGAAAAATTTTCGCTGTTTTACCGTATAATCAAAGCAATCTTCAACCCAATTTCACTTTAATTATTCTCTGATACCCTTTTGGTCGTTCGTATTTCAGTTGATTTATTCTATTGTCAATTTATCTTTTTTGAAAATGTTCTCGAATTTTGTTCTTGCTTGTAATATTTCACTCTGGCAGCTTACGAAGCAGCTTCGGATATCGTTCACAATGCACTCGTACTATGATGAAATTAAAATTACTCCGACTGCGCAGCTTTGACCCTGTGGCATCGCTTTCAATCGTACATTCTCTGGCATCTCACTCGTCGCACTTTGGTACTCTGGCATCTCTTTCAGCCGATGCACTCTCTGGCATCTCTTTTTCAATTGACTGATATACTCTCTTAAAGCAGATCGAATATGCAATGGAGATGATCTATGATCAGCAAAGTGCTTCATGTGAAAAAAAAATATTAGATTTTTATAAGAGATAAACTGTAAATATATATTTATATATGAATTTCACTTTAATGGAATACTTAATCAGTCAAATAATATATATTTACCTCTGCGGAACGGTTTCAATATCCGTTATAAAAATGTCCTTATGCGTTTCCCCGAAAAATACTTGAAAGTAATTTAGTTGTTAGTCAATATTATGCACATGTTTCATTTATTATTGCATTTTGCTTTACATATTATCAATATGCTTATTATTATAGTCTATTACCAAAAATAATTTCTTAAAACTTTTTTACTCGTTTCATTTATTTATAGGTATGCTTTAATTACTTTAAGTTTTGCTCGGGTAGATTTTTCTTTTCATTTTTTTTTTTTGTATTTCGTTTTCTTTTTCTTTAGCTGTAGTATATAATTCGATTTAATTTGCTTGCGTTTTTTACCAGCGATAACTCTTGTTCAAAAACACACAAAACTCCAAAAAACTGTAAGAAATAACTACAAGAATATTCAAGGTTTCAGGAAGATTCTGTGTGTGTGTGGCTGTGGCTGTGTGGGTGTGGGAGTGGATTGTGTACACTGAACGAAACCGATATTTAAATTGATTTTCTTGCTGCGGATGTGGCTAGTTTAGTAACTAATTTGTGTGGTCGGTACATACAATACGTGTGTGTGTGTGTGAGTTTCATAATTAATAAATACAAAACATACATATGTAAGTATATTAAATAACGTGCCTAAATATAAAACATTTCACAATTGTCTAAATAATAATATTTTGGATATACATACGTACATACATGTATGAAATTTATCAACAAATTTCGCTGCTGCCCAATGAAGGAAAACAAATATATAATTATAAACAATTGCCAAATTGGTCATTCAAGTGCCATATTTTTTTAAACACAACGTTTTCAAAGGGGCGTAGAGTGGAGTTAAACAAAGCCATACACAGTGAAGAACTAGTTAGTTTAAGCGTTTAACTTAATTTTAGGCGCAAAACATTTACAATACAATACGTACATACATATTTTTCACTTTTCTTGCTGTTTGTTTGTTCTGTTTTTTTGTTTTGTTTTTGTTTGTTTGTTTGTTTTTTTTGGAATCACAAATGTTAGCTATAGTATTTAAATACACATGTAGGTAAGACATTCAAAAGGAAAATTAAGTTTTATAGCGTTTGAGAATGCTTTTAATGACGGTGTTAGAGAGACTGCGATTGCAATTGTGGTTTCTGCTGCTGCTGCTGCTGCTGCTGCTGGAGCTGTTCTGAGGAGTGGAGGTGTTGGTGTTGGTGGTGGCGGTGATAATGGTGGCAAAGTGTGGCAACCGGCAAGCTGCGCAGCTTCACTCCAAATTTCGCACTTCGAAGCGCTTGTACGTGTAATTGATGAAGACCCAATCCTTGGCAATTTCACCGCCCTGCGGCACAGGCGCCGATGCTGTACAAAATTAAAGAATAGTTTTAATTTTGAATCATTTCCAACTGCACGTAATGGGATTGCACTTACGTATCTCCAGCGAGACATCCGGAAATTCGTCGAAATTGGACGTATCGTCAATGGAGCGCACTTCCACGGGTATTGCTGCTGGCCTTTCACGAATGTGCTCCCAATCGACGCCACGAAAGAACGGCACCGACTTCAGGTCCTCCAGGCCACGCTGTGATCCCAAACGTCGATCGGCCTCGCAACAGAAATTGATAATCGTCTCTTTGGCCTCCTCCGATATGGGTATTTCTGGTGGAAATATTAATGTTTCCCGCCAGTTCATCACCTTGCGGTACGTGTCCTGTGGATTGTCCGAACAGAATGGCGGATATCCCATCAACATTTCATACATAATAACGCCCAGTGACCACCAATCGCACGCAGGTCCATAGCCGGTTTGCAGGAATACTTCGGGTGCTATATAATCTGGCGTGCCCACTGTGCTGTAGGCAAGAGCGCGTCGATTCCGTTTCCAGGACTCGGCGCGCCGTTTCGAGTCCATGGGACTGCTCAAACAATGAATGAATTGCGGTGAATAACAGTTCGTTAGTTGGCTTGAGATAATTGTTGCTCACCTGGCACAGGTGCCAATAAAATCGGATGGTTTTGCCTGCGACAAATCACGATAAAAGTCCGTGCGATGTGACTTCTTCAAGCCCGTGCACAGCCCGAAATCAGAAAGCTATAGTAATAGAGGCATAGTTACTAATTTCCTTGTTTAATTGGCGGAGTCTTCTCGTTTACCTTTAGATGCCCTCGCGCATCGAGCAGCAAGTTATCTGGCTTTATGTCCCTGTGTATGAAACCGAGCTTGTGGATTGAATCAATCGCTAACGCCGTTTCGCTTATGTAGAATTGTGTGCCCTCCTCGGATAGCGTGTCCTTCTTCATTAGGAGTGTCATCATATCACCGCCAGGCAAGAATTCCATTATTAAATATAAATTGACCTGGTCCTGTATTGCGTTTAAGAGGCAGGAATATTGGGTTTATTAACATAACAAGAACTTAGCAGATATTTCATTTGAATTAGGCAAGATTAAAGGCTACCCCTATTGATATTATTTTAAACTCTAAAGCTTGTTTCTAGTGAAATAAAGTATTTAACCCAAGTTAATTCAATATATTTCCCCATCTTGTTCCAGCTTTTGCATGCCTTTTTTCGTAAATGTCATGCTAACGTAAACGGTTACAAAATAAATAAACAAAAGCTGAATGTGTAAAACGTTCATAAAGCAAGTGCAATAATTACGAAACTGTGAAATAATTTTGATTTCTGCACGTTTTGCATGCTGCGATGTTCCAATAAGACTGCTCTCACATAGAAACACAATTACATGCATATACATATGTATATGTGTGCGCGTGTGTAAATGTGTGTGTGAAAACTTTCACCAAGAACAAATCAAAACAACAACAACAACAACGATAACAAACAAGCACAACAACAAAAACAACACAAAGACGCAGACCATATGATTTGGCAAGCAGTTTTGTGCTTGTATTGGTTTATTGATTTTCAGCTGCAATTGCGAACCGTGGGCGAATGTGTGTGGGATTTGCACTCACCTGAAAACTGTAGTACATCTTGACCACCCATTGGTGATCCGCCTCGACGAGAACATCGCGCTCAGCGCGTACGTGTGCCACCTGCTCCTTTTCGAGCATGTCCGCTTTGCGCAGCACCTTCATGGCGTACACATGTCCCGTGTCCTTTTTTTGCACTAAACGCACCTCGCCAAAGGCACCACGTCCGATGACTTTCAATGCCTCAAAGTCCTCGACGCCCAGTCGCAATCGCTTGAGGCGCAAATATTCCGTCTCCTTTTGCGCATGCTGTAAACGTTTCTCCTGGCGCTGTGTCTCTGTTAGACTTTCGTCCTTCAGCTGCGCTTCTAATTTTGCCTGGCGCTGTTTGCGCTCGCCGTATTGTGTCACCAAATTGCTGTAATAATTCTCTAACGTCACCTTGGCCTTGGTGGCTTTGTCCAGTGTGTGATCGCTGAAACGTATGGAGGAGCCATCCGTGTCCGTTCTGCTGCTCATCATCTAAACTGTGTGTGTGTGTTGCTGCTGCTGCTGCTGCTGTTGGTGTGTGTTTGTGTCTGTATGCGTGTCGTGGAGTTTAGTGTCCTTGCACGAGTTATGCACTTGCTTAAAGCAGACACACAGCTTGAAGTATTTTATTGCCTTTTTTCCTTTGTAATTTATTAAATTGCTACCTCTCTTTCGTGTTTCGTTATCGTCGTTCTTTCTTATTGTGCTTAGGGTTGATATGCTTGCAATTAATCGAATGCATTTCAATCGAATAGCATGAGCTCATTCTCTGATAAGAAGTTCAGTATTTGGGCACACGCGAAATGCAGCTACTCTTTTTTAGCAAAATCGATATACGGAAACATCGATAAACTTATAAATCAGCTGATAGTTAATTACCTTTGTTGCAAAATATGTTTTTGTTTCTTACAATTGAAGCGCTACTTAAACCACCATGGCGCGCACAACCGACTTCTCGGACCTTAATTTTCAATGCTTGCTGTTGATATTCAAGTTGCTGCACAATTTAGAAGACCAGGTCAATTTGGCACTTTGCTGTCGCCGATTTCGCGATGCATTCGCTTATCTGCATCGCCAGCGATTCGAAGAAATAGTTGACAGCGACATTAAGCTACGAAATTTGGACAATTGGCGCGCCTTTTTATGGATGTGCGGTGCCAATGTCAAAAGGTTAACCTGCTACCGCGACGACGACCATCCGCTGCAGGTGCTGCCCATTGTCGCCAGATTTTGCATCCGCTTGGAGAGCATCACGCTGCGCAACGTGACGGTGTCCAAGGCGCAGCCGTTCCTGCTTCAGCTGACCACGCTGCGGAAGGTGTATGTGCGTAATTACAAATGTACCAGCACAGATCTGATCAAATGCATGAAGCTGCGCTTGCCCAACATACAATATCTGGGCTTGGAATGTTTCGAACGGCGGGAACGTATGTAGACTTAAAGTTATTTATTTACTCAATCTTTAATGTTTTTTTTCTTTTTCATGGTAGTGCAAGAGCTGCGTCACTTTACCAACTTACAGGAGCTGCAAATGTACGACGAGGTGACGGCTTCTGACTTCACGGCTATTACCAAATCCCTAAGGAGCCTGCGCATACTGCAGCTGCGCAATGCCAAGAAGTTTCTGACCACGAACACGCTCAAGCAATTGGCCATCAATTGTCGCCAGATAGAGAAGCTCTGCTTTCAGGACAGCGACGCAGACCTTACAGCCTTGTCGATGTTTCCAAACTTGCGATATCTTCAAGTTTATTGTCCAGATAATCAGAAAACTCGTTTGTTCAAAACTTTAAGTAGCCAGTGCGCTTCGAATTTGGAGTTTCTAATACTGCATCGCAAGCAATGGATCGACGAGGTGCAGGCGGAACGCATTGGCGCTATCAAAACCCTCAAATGGCTTGTGTGCAAGCCACGCAACGATCGCTGCGTCTACCATCTAGCGAATCTATCTCAACTGGAGTGCCTCTCACTGCAATGTGCCCGAGACATAGGCGAGTCGGAGCTCCTGAAACTTATTCGTAATAATGAACAGCTGCGCTATTTGAACATCTGCTATTGCCTGGGCATAACTGATGCCTTCATTGTGGACTTGCTCGACATATTGGCCAAGCGACGAACACATCAGCCGTTGATAATGTACGCGGCGGCCACCGATATCAGGCACGATATAATTGAGAGAGTGAGTAGCTGACATTGCAATAAAGCGAGCATCATTTTAATTAAACTCGAATATATTTTAGTTACCAGCCGACTTTGCCTCCCAGTTGCTGATCCTACACTTTGAGTGCAGCCAAGGTATGCATTCCACTGAACATTTTTATAACGATGAGCCCGAATTCGATCGATAAGCTCTAGGAGTTCGTGGAGTCACAGAAGTTTATACACATCATTATGCATATTCGCATAAGAGCATACCAATATGTATGCTGTTTGTATACCAAATAATATACTCAGAATTTGATAAGAGTATTTAAAATATTTTCCCCTCTGTTATATTACACTAAGTGCTAGTATTTTATTCTAAATATTGAGGCTTACTTTTTAAATATATTGAATACATTTTGTAATCGTCTTAAACAAAGTAACTATTTTATTATTATATTTAGACATAATGTGCTTGGTATTCGATGACATAATTTGCTTACATGGTATTCGATGGGGGATATTAGTCGCTATACGTACATATATGTATTTTTATTTATACGTACATCATTAGTAAACGTGTACTGCATGCATACACATACATACATACATATGCACATGCATCCATGTGTACATACATACATATATACATACACACATATATACAAACATACATATGTAACTACATACATATGTACATACATACATATGTACATACATACATATGTACATACATACATATGTACATACATATAAATGTACATACACATGTACATACATAAATACTTATGTATAAAACTACATACATATGTACATAAATACATATTTATAACTAACATATACATACCTACTTAAGTTCATACACACGTACTTAATACGTACATACTTACTTACATACACATGTACATAATTATATTATAAGATTCATACAATTATTCATACATGCATACATAAAAAAAAAATAAATACCTCTCTTACCACCAAAGCATTAAAACCTGCAAGGCCTACTTGAATTCGTGAGAATCGCGGAGGAGGGCTACCTTTATACACGCCATTTTTTTATTTTGCAGCTTAGCGGGAAGTAAACTTGATCTGCATTTGAGAAAAGACAAAGACAGATGGACATATCTTAACATCTATACATATATGCACACATACATACATACACATACATACGCATACATTCATTAATGCTTGATCAGCGGCAAACAGTATATAGGTTATTTTTTATATAAAACACGATTAAAGTTATACTTCGCTCATCTCTATTATTTTAAGTGTTGTAAAGTGGGAATGAAACAATATTATCGATTGCCGATATCGATATGTATTTTTGTTTTCGTGTTGTTTGTTGTGTCTGACCAAAGTGAAAATTGCAAAGAAATTTGCAAAATAATTGTGTAAAAACACATTTTAAAGGCCGCAACGATGCTCTCGTTGCTGCAGGAGAAGCGACCACTAAAGCGTACACGCCTGGGGCCGCCAGATATATATCCGCAAGACGCCAAGCAGCGCGAGGACGAACTGACGCCCACAAATGTGAAACATGGCTTTACAACGACGCCGCCGCTTTCTGATGAATTTGGCACGGCGCACACATCCAATGTGAACGCCAGCAAGGTGAGCGCGTTCTTTAGCGGCGTGCTGGCCAAAAAGGAGGAGCTGATGACGTTGCAGGATACCGTGCGGAAAAAGCAGCAAATTAATTGCAAAGACAACTTTTGGCCGGTATCGCCGCGTCGCAAATGTACAGTGGATGCTTGGTTCAAGGACCTGGCCGGCAACAAGCCACTGCTTAGTCTGGCCAAACGTGCGCCCTCCTTCAACAAGAAGGAGGAAATTTTTATAACGCTGTGCGAGAACCAGGTCAATATGCAGCGTGCCACCTGGTTTATCAAACTAAGCGCCGCATACACGCTCAGCTTTACCGAGTCGAAGAACAAAAAGCGCAGCATTTATGACCCGGCAGCCGAATGGACAGGCAATATGATCAAGTTCATGAAGGAACTGTTGCCCAAGCTGCAAGAATACTATCAGCAGTGTAAGTAAAACAATGATTTACTTTTCGAAAAAGAGTCAACTCGTATTTTTTTTCAGCGCACGATAAGAATGGAATGCAGGCCAACGGCAGCAGCAGCTCATCCACTGCCAGCAGCACCAGTAGCAACAGCAATGGCAGCGCCAACAGCAGCAGCAACAACAATAACACCAGCAGCAATACCAGTACTGTGGGCAATCCCACGCCCAATGTGATACCGGTGCCCAGCATGTCCAGTCCGCTGCCGCCCATACATAGTCCAGCCAATGGCCAGCCAGGTGCTGTTGGCAGCGCTGCAGCTGGTGGCGCTGTGGCCGGCACTGCTGCAACGCCGGGCACAGCGCTAGCTACGCTGGGCGGCTCTGCAGCCGTTGGCGCAGCCGGAGCAAACGCTGGTGCTGTGCCGCCAGGCTCAAGCATATCGGGCATTGGCAGTCAGTTCGAGGATAGTCGCAATGCGCTGAAATACTGGAAGTATTGCCATCAGTTGAGCAAGTATATGTATGAGGAGTCATTGTTGGATCGCCAGGAGTTTCTTAACTGGATACTGGATCTGCTGGATAAGATGCGCACGCAAACCAGCTTCGATGAGCCGCTAAAGAAGCTGGTTCTCAGCTTTGCGCTGCAGTATATGCACGACTTTGTGCAGTCGGAGCGCCTGTGCCGCAAAATGGCCAATCTGGTGGCCAAAAAGCTGGCTCAGCTGCTCAATGCGGCCGTCGAGCAGCAGCAGCAACAACAACAGCAGCAGGCCCTAATCAAGTCACAGGCCATGGAACTCGATGTGCCCGAGGATCAGCAGCAGCAGCAGCCGACTATTGATCCGTATGAGCAGGCTCTGCATGACTATATGAACTGTCCGCATCATCGTGACATTGTCCTATATTTGAGCACCATTCTTCAGGTAATTACCATCGAATGCCCGACGGCGCTGGTGTGGAGCGGCATAGCTGCACATCGTGCCCCCTCCTCCCTGGTGGGCAGTCCCCTTGATCATTTGCCGTTGGCGCCCTCGGTGCTGCCAATGCCTTCACGTTGTCCTCGCACCAACCATGAGCTGCGCAAGCAATTGCGTGCCGCCGAGGCGGATATTGTGTTGCGTACCCAGCACGCGGAACAGCGCTGGTTCGCATCAAAGTGGCTGAGCGCGGGAAAGAATCATTACACCAATGTGCTGGCCACGTTGGATCATCTAGACACTCACTGCTTTGAGCGCATGGATCAGTGCAATTCAATTGACACTCTCTATACTCACATATTTCCACCACAACCGGTGCAACTGCGCCGCTCCGAGGATGATTCACAGCAGCAGCAGCAACAGCAGCGCGCTCCATATGAGCCCAAGCAGGACGCGGACACGGTGCGCATACTCTGCGAGTGGGCGGTGTCCAGCCAGCGTTGGGGCGAGCATCGGGCCATTGTGGTGGCCATTTTGCTGGACAAGCGTCAAATCGATGTGACCAGCACACCAGCCGATCTATGCGGAGATAAGGAGGACAAGGATTCGCTGGCATCCGGTGCCGGCATCATCGATGGCCTGCCCGTCTTTCAACATGTTCTAATGCACTTTCTGGACCACGATGCACCCATCTTGGATGAGCACAACAGCAGCGCCCAGCAACGCACAGAATTTACCAATTTGGTTCAGCTTTTCAGCGCGCTGATACGGCACGATGTCTTCTCGCATAATGCGTACATGCACACGTTAATATCGCGTGGGGATCTGCTGCTGGAATCGATGCTGGTGCACAAGACGACGGCGAAAAATTCGCCACCGCCACCAGCGCCTCCGCCGCCGAATAGCAGCGCAACGACCCACGGATTCGACGATGACGGCTTTGGCTCGGGCATTGGCATTGATTTCAAGCACAATGAGTTCGATGACTCCAATGTGGACGACGATCTGGATAAACTGGTGCAGAACATTAAGGAAAAGGGCCAACAGCACGAGGCGCCCGACAGTCCCAAGATCGGTGCGCCCGGTGATGGTGACGGCGGCGTTGATACGCCTGCCTCTGGCGTCAGCATATCCAGGCACTATGTGTACACGAAACACTTTCCCATACCCCAGGATGATCCCAGCATGTCCAGCTACAGCAGCGAGAGCAATCAACGCTACATACTGCTCTTTGGTGTGGGCAAGGAGCGCGACGAAAAGAAGCATGCAGTTAAGAAGATGTCCAAGGAGATTGGCAAACTCTTCACCAAGAAATTCAGCATCGATGTGGCGGAGGGCGGCAAGGTGAAGAAACATTCGCGCAACGAGTTCAACTTTGAGGCGACCACAGCCAAGTGCCAGCACATGGCCTACTTTGATCAGCATGTGGTGACGGCCCAGTGTGCGGCCAATGTGCTCGAGCAGCTAAATGGCTTTGCCCAGGGCAGCAACAACTATTTGCCCGTGCAGGAGCATGTGGCCTTTTTGTTCGATTTAATGGAGCTGGCGCTCAACATTTACAGTCTGCTCGAGCTGTGCGATCACTTGCTAAAGGAGCTGCCCGAGGTGGAGCATCAGCTGCAGCTAAAGAAGTCTAACATGGTGCGTGGCTACACCACCTCCCTGGCCCTCTACATTGTCAGCATACTGCGCCGGTATCACAGCTGCCTGTTGCTGTCGCCGGAGCAGACGGTCTCCGTTTTTGAGGGACTTTGTCGCACCATACGCCATGTCAGCGATCCCAGCGAATGCAGCTCCGCGGAACGCTGTATACTCGCCTACCTCAGCGATCTGCACGAGTCCTGCATACTGCTGCAGGGCAAGGAGCAGGCAGCTGAATATTATCAACAGTTGAACTGCATCAAGCGTTTTAAGGATATCTTCAATACGCCCGAGCAGCTCAGGTGAGTTGATCTGTGGACAGTTTAAATGTACCCTGTACCTAGTAGAGAAAACGGATATAGGATATGTTCTTGATCTTCACATTTGAAGGCATTCATGAGTTGTACAAATTTAACAAGTATTTTCTTACAGCATAACACCCCAGGCCTACAATCCACAGCTGTTGCAGGAGCTGTTTGTGGCGCCGCGACGTGGCGGCAAGCTCGAATCGCACTGGCTGCGCCAACTCCATGAATCCCCGGCGAATGTGTACAGTTTTGTCTCGAATGCCGTCATTGCCGTCTGCCGGGAGACGGATAACGAGCGGCTAAACGATGTGGCGCTCGCCTGCGCAGAGCTAACTGCCAGCTGCAATGTGCTGTCCGAAGAGTGGATTGCGGCATTGCAGAGTCTGTGCAGCGGCAGCAAAAGCCCGCGCTACCCGCACCTCGGTGGTCAGGTGGACATTGGTCAGGGCAAGACGCACAATGCCCTGGCCGTCTTCGTGTGCATTCTGGTGGCGCGACATTGTTTCTCGCTGGCGGATTTCGTTAGCAAATTTGCGCTGCCGACGCTGGCGCGTTCGGTTAGCGGTGGCGGTGAGCTGAGCGTGGATGCGGAGGCGGGCGCACGGCTCACATGTCATCTGGTGCTGAAGCTGTTCAAAACCCTGGAAATACCACAGCCGGGCATGTACTCGGTGAGCACATCGCCCAATCCGCTGCATGCTGTGGGCAGCGACTTTAGCATACGTCTTAGCTGCGATCGTCATCTGCTGGTGGGCGCACACAAGACCATACCCATAGCGGCGGTGCTGGCTGTTCTGAAAGCCATACTCATTGTCGTGGACAATGCGGCGCTGAAGACGCCACTGGCCGCCAGCGGATTGGGCTCGTCGAGTAGTTGCAGCGCCTTTGGCAGCGGTAAACGCAGCGGCTTCAATACGCCCGTTCATCCGGGCAGCACGCCGAAGAGCAACGAGCAGCGGCCGGCGGATCTCAGCCAGATACTGGGCACCAGCGATCTACAGCTTGGCAGCCTGGGCAGTGAACAGGAGTCACTGCAGCAGCCAACGGGCAGCAGCTTGGCGGGCAACGAGCAAATCTCATTACTGGAGTTTGCCCAGGCCGTTCTCAAGCAGATTTGTGCCCAGGAGCATGTGCTGGAGCGCTGCTTGAAAAATGCGGAACAGCTGTGCGATATGATTATTGACGAAATGCTGACCGCCAAACAGGCGCAACGTGTGCTGCACATGATCTGCTATCCGGAAGCCGAGTTCAATATTATTTCAGAGCTGGATCAGCGTTCGATGATAGTGCGCATTCTGGAGCACCTGGATCAATGGACGCTGCGCATTTCCTGGCTGGACTTGCAGCTCATGTATCGACAGTCGCTGAGCAACAACACATCTCTCAGCAACAATACGGAGCTCAATGTTTGGTTGGATACGGTGGCCCGAGCGGCCATCGATGTCTTCCACATGGAAGAGGTCACGTTGCCGGGCGCCCTGAAAACCACGCACAAGCCGAAGCCATCCACATGGCTGGTGGCGCCGCTCATTGCAAAGCTTACGCCCGCTGTACAGGGTCGTATCTTGCGCGTGGCTGGCCAAGTGCTCGAGAGCATGAACTACTTTTCCAAGGTGTCCAAGTCCGATTGCAACAGCTCCGGCAGTGGCGATGAGCGCGAGAAAAGCAACAGCTGCCACAGCAGCAACAGCTACGGCGGCGGTGGAAGCATTACGGCTCGCAACAAGAAGATGCCGCTCAACTATCAGCCCTTCCTGGGACTTATACTCACCTGCCTGAAGGGTCAGGATGAGTACAAGGAGAATTTGCTTGTTTCACTCTACTCCCAGCTCTCCCAGTGCCTGCAGTCCTTCGCTGAGGTAAATGCTTGCACTACTCCTTTCTGTATTCATTGCTAATTGTTGATTCCCATTGATAGCTGGACACCATTGGCGGCATCGACGAGCCGCAGGCATGTGAGGAGATTCTTGATGCATTGCAGCTGCGCTTTTCGCTGGTGGGCGGCATGTTTGATGCCATCCAAAAGAACAGCACGCCAACCACAGACTGGGCCATACTGCTCGCACAGCTGGTTTGCCAGGGTGTCGTTGATCTGAGTTGTAATCGGGAGCTCTTTACCACTGTGGTGGACATGCTGGCCACTCTGGTGCACTCGACGCTTGTCTCCGATAGCCAATCGGAGCGGGATGAAAACAAGAAGCTCTATCTGAATCTGATGAAGAAACTCAAGAAGGAAATCGGCGAGAAGAATAACGCTTCGATACGCGTCATAAGGCAACTGCTGCCGCTTTACAAGCAGCCCACAGAGGTTCGTTGCGACTCAGCGTCGACCTCAGCAGATTCTTGAAAATCTACCTAATCCTCTTTTCAGGTCATAGCCTGCGAGCATGCAGGAATGGACACGAAGGGCAATAAGATTTGTGACATGGACAAAAAGCAGCTGCGTATCTCGGATAAACAGCGAATCAGCGTGTGGGACATTCTCGAGGGTCATAAGAATCCAGCGCCGCTCTCGTGGGTGTGGTTTGGTGCCGTCAAGCTGGAACGCAAGCCGCTCACCTACGAGGAGGCACACCGTAATCTCAAATACCATACGCACAGTCTGGTCAAACCCAGTAGCTATTATTATGAGCCGTTGCCGCTTCCGCCGGAGGATATAGAGCCAGTCCCAGAGAAGATTTGCATAGTAAGTTGATGGCGCTGCAGTCGTCCTAAAAAATAATCCTCTCAACGTACACTTTGCAGAAGGATGAAATGATGAAGGCCGACACACCCTCGTCGGTGGATCAGTCGCCTAGCGCTGTGGTTGGCACTGGACGTGGCCGTGGCAAGGGCACAACAACGCGCAAGCGCAAGCCGAAAAATCCAAAGACGCCGCCAGTGGTCAACACGCAACAGCAGCAGCCACAATTGGCGCCGCAGCCGCAACAGCCGCCAAATGTGCAGCAGCAGCAACAACAACAAATGCAACAGCAACAGCACATGCAGCAGCAAATGCAGCCCAACCAGATGGGGCAGATGCCTATGAATATGCAGGTACGAGGCAACTGACATCAACTAAAGCCTAGCGACTAATGTTACCCTTTGTCAATGTAGATGAACATGCAACAGTTTGGTCCCAATGCCATGATGCAGCAGCAGACTGCGCTGATGCAGCAGCAGCAGCAACAACAACAGCAGCAGCAAATGCAACAGATGGCGCCCAATCAAATGCAGCAGCAGCTTAACGTGGGCGGAAATGGCCAACCGAATGCACAGATGAACTTTATGCAGGGTCCCGGACCCGGTGGCCCACAGGGCATGCCCAGCCAACAGCAGCAGCAACAGCAATGGCACAATACGCCCCAGCAGCAGCAACAGCAACCGCAGCAGTATCACAATCAGTATCAGCATCAGCAGAACATGCAAAGTAAGTTTGTCCACAATTCTGCCCAGACTTCAGGAATTAAACATGTTTTGTGCTTGCAGTGAATCGTATTGAGCGGCCACCGCTTAATAGCAACTCCAAGCAAGCATTGTCACAGATGCTGCGCCAGCGGCAGCCTGGTTCATTCCAACAGCAGCAGCAACAGCCGCCTGGTGGCTTTAATCCCATGCAGCAACAGGCACAGCAGCAACAAGGGCCCCAGCAGCAGCAAATTAATGCACAGCAATTGCGGCAGCAGCAGCAGCAGCAACAACAAATGAATGCTCAACCGAATCCGCAGGCTGCGGCCGCCTTTAATGCAATGCAGCAACAGCAGCAGCAGCAGCCAAATGTTCAGCAACAGCAGCAAATGAATCCCAATCAGCAGCAGTTGCAGCAACAGCAACAGCAGCAACAACAGCAACAGCAATTCATGCGTGGCAACATGCGCGCCATGGCGCCAAGCCAGATGGGTGGCATGAATATGGTTGGTCAGGGCATGCCGCAGAACCCGATGTTGCAGCAGCAGCAGATGGCACAAGGCATGGTGGGCATGGTCAATCCAAATGCCAATCCAATGATGCAGGGCGGTGGAGCAGGTGGCAATGGCGGTGTTGGTGTCGGTGTCGGTGTCGGTGTGGGCGTTGGCGCTGGTGGCAATAATCCGAACATGGGCATGGGCGGTATGCCGCAGCAGGGCATGATCCAGCAGCAACAGCAGGTGCAGTTTCAAAATTTCCAAAATCAGTATCAGCAGCAGCAACAACAGCAAGGCATGCAGCAGCAAGGCGGCGGAGGCGGAGGCGGTGTTGGCGTGGGCATGGCGCCGAATCAGCAGCAGCAACAGCAAGCCGGTCTAATGAACAATTTCAATCCTCAGATGCAGCAGGCGCAACGCAACAATCCCGACTTTATGGCAGCAGCAGTTGTTGCGCAGCAGCAGCAGCAGCAACAACAACAACAGCAGCAGCAACAGCGCGGAGTGCCTGGCGGTATGATGGCCGGCAATCGCGGCCAGTATATGAACCAGGCGCCGAATGTGACCATGACCAACATGATGGGTCCTGGACCAGGGGGTGTGGGCGTGGGCGTTGGCCAGGTGCCACCCTATGCACGCCAGCAGACCACGGGTGGCGGCAAACCGGGTGTATTGCCTGCGCAGCAGCAATTCCAGCAGCAGCAGCTCCGACACCAGCAAATGATGCAAATGCAGGGCATGGCCGGTGGAGGAATGGGCGGTGGACCACAAGCCGGAGGCGGTGCAGGTGGTGGCGGCGGCGGCGGCATGGTCCAGCAACAGCAGAGCATGAATCAGCAGCAAACGCCCAATCTGGTGGCCCAGCTTCAGCGTCAGATGACCAATCAGCCGAACATGATGGGACAGCAGCAGCAGTACCCACATCAGCCGCCACCCTATTAGTTAAGAGTATTGTAGTTTTTGTAAAGCATGCACTTGTGTACGAATAATTCACTCAATGCTAAATGCAATAAATAATTCTTTTATTTTTAAATTTTGAATGCAGCGCGCGGTGCTGCCAACTCAATGCAACAAACGATAACATTGCAATCGATAACTGAGCAACTGGAAACAGCTGTTCGCGCCTGTGTGCGTGTTAGTGTATATACGTGTGTGTGCGTGCGTGCTTAAAAAGACCAAATTTAATGGCAGCTTTAGGAGCTTAATTATAATTAGTTATAGTTTAAAGTTAAATAGTGCAATACAATTAGTTCCTACAATTAAGACGACACATGCAAAGCAATTGGCAAAAACATAACAGCCAATCGTTATTCATCAGCCGCAATAATTTCATTCATTGATCAGCGAATTTTTACGTTTAGCATAAGAGAATAACCCAATCAGCCTGCCGTTTTACACTGGCCACATCAGTATTGTTTGCATTAGTTGAGCAGGTGGACGTTTTATTGTTAACTGCCAGCCCAAGCCATGAATGAAGCACCTGAGCACAGCAAAAAACGTCAAAAGACGGTAAGTATTTGCGCCACATTTGTCTGCTGCCTCTGTGTTTGTACAAATGTGCCAAGGAAAAAGAGTCGGTGACTCGGTCACGACATCCACCCCTCCCCCACCTGCCCACCCCACAAACTTTCAAAGGGGAAAAGTTTATTTAAAAAGCTGTCAGTTGATAGGGAGTGTGTTTGTCAGTTAAAACTCATTATTATTGAACAGCTGTTGGCATAAACGATCCAGAACATTTCAGCGTTATTATTAAAATAACAAAAAAACACGTTATACCCATTTTATATAAAAAAGTAAGCCTAAGTGGGTCAGATTTTTGCACTGCCTCGGTATTTGGTATCTAACAGCAACAACTGATGTTATATTAATGTGGCCCAAATTGATAAGAATATAATATAAATAAAACTACGCAAAGGCCATGCCATAAAAATTGCTTATCAGGCAGCTTAATTACAGTATTCAAAACTTCTTGGGACTTGGAATTAAAAAAGTGCACTATATATGCATATTTAAGTAAGTTTATTACGATCGTAAACAACGCGTGTGCAGCTAATAATTTGTCGACTTTGCAAAATAAAGGCACCTTAGCCGAATCGAAATAACGCGGAACCGAAAAAAATGTGTTCTTTGTGCCGAAACAAATTTTTCTCAATAACGTATGGACGATACCTGGACGACAGAAAGACAAATTTCTTAAAATAAAAACATATTCTGTTAATATTATGATACTAAGATCTAAACAAATAAATGGAAAAATCAAATTTAGCCCGCATCTTGTATTGGAAAATATCTACGACCTGCGATATTTTCAGTACAACGGGCAATTGTAAATTATATATGTACTAAGGATATTCATTAAGGATGTTCAAAATGATTTATCGAATGGATCAAATCAATCGTATTGCATGCAACCGTTTTTCGCGACTTTTTAACACTTTTGAGTGAAAATTTCCAACAGCCCCAACACTTGCATCACATACGCTAACTAAAGTACAAATTTGAGCTATAGTTGGGCTGTTAGTCGGGTCAGTTTTATAGATAATATCAGTTCCACAGTTATTTCAATGGGGTTTTTTCCATCTGCAGACCATTTGAAGCCAGTTTATTGCTCTACAGATAAGGTAAACGTTATGTTAAATCTTATGCAATATGCAATCAACTGTTATTTTTTTTTCAGTGCTGAACACTTGTTTTTTATTGCACATACACACTCGCACAAATACACACACACACACACGCAGTTATTGCTGTCGGGCTAAACTACTTGAAATTAAAAAGAAAGTATGTATATTGGTAGACGCCTAAGTTTGTGTATATTTTGGGCCATCCTAACGAATTGTAAACAACCTGAAATACTTGTATCTCTGTCGCACTTCAGTCGCAATTTGAGCTCTTTCTTGCCTCTGTTGTTGTTGTTAGTTGAAAACTTGGTCAACGGCCAGATTCAGTTAAAAGGTTGAATGACCAACAAAGTATGTTGGCCCGCAAATCTTGTTAATTGCTGTAAGTTTGATTATATATATAACTATCAATTGTTTTGTCATCGTATTTGGGTCGCAGACAAAATATTGCATTTGCCTGTTAGTTTTGCTTCTTGTTTAGTGCCGGATAAAGTGCCAACTCATATTTTTATTTAAACAACGATTACCTTCATAATCTTCATAGTTGTTTGCCAAGCTGCTAAACTTGTAGATACCCTGTAAACATATTACGGGCAGGTACATATGCGAAAATGTGCAGCACAAGACTATTCAAACATTGCGAGCATTTAAAGAATTGTAAAATATAAGTTTATATATATATTCTCGATCAGCACAGTTTTCTAAGTTATTTAGCTTTGTCCATCTGCCTGTCTGTCCAGCTCTTTGTTTCAGGCTAAAGTCGAAAAGTTGTGACTAATATATGAAAGAAAATATGTTTTGTTAGAAGAAAATGATACAAATGTGCATGGATTGATCTCTTTTCAATCATATCATTTAGATTTCCTAGAAAATTGTGCTCAAGCCCTTGTTTTTGACTAGACACCTAGCATAGCAAAATCTTAGGAAAACTTCGAAAAACTATATCTTAAAGCCCGATACATAACTAATTTTCTAGGCAATTCGTAGCGCTTCCTTCGTGTTACATCTATTACAGGGTGTGTTGTAGTCAGACTGCTTTTTACATAATAACTTTACATCATTTGTTTTATGATTTTGTTATTCAATTATTCACTTACACAATTAAGATAAACCTAAAGGCAATTACAAGGTTTGTTGAATTTGAAAATCAAATATTTTTAAACATGAACTTGAAGTATTTTTCCGCAATTCATGCAGTTTTTGTTTTTGTTTTTTACTCGAGTGCAAATGGTGCTCTTTTTTTATGTTAATGACTTTAACGTGCCATTAATCTGGTAGATTAGAGTTCAAAACAATAAATCTAACTTGGAAAAAGTTAAAAAAAAAATTGCTGATAGTCGGCAAAAAAAAAAACTATACAGAAAAAAAATGCCACTAAAGTCTAACCAGCCTGGGGATTTGACTTGGACATTTCCTTCTGTTAATAATCTAAGAAAAACTTTATAATATGTAGAAAAGAATATCTCTAAATATTTATTCATTCCAACTTGTAACTACCTAAGCTATATTTAATTTATTTGTTTCTGCGCTAATGAAATTTCTGGGAAATTAATCTTTATTAAAAACCCATTTAATGTTATTTGTTCTGTCAGCCTGCGATTTGAGTTGGAGCATTGCCTTCTGTTAATAATCTAAGAAAACCTTTTGAATGTTATAAAACTCAATCTCTGTAGATTTATTCATATCAACTCTTAACTACCTGAGCTATATTTATTTTGATTTGTTTATTGCTTTACACTCTCTGCACTCTTTTTAACATTTAATGTTATTTGTTCTGTCATAATCTGTTACGAGACGCTGTAATTGAACGAGTTCCTTTCCGTGCCGAATAGCTGGTCAACAAGTTATTGTCCCACTGTCCCAAACTTCCAAGTTTTAGTCTCGGCTGCATTTTTAACCCACGGCACGGCCAAGAAATATCAGTTGCAGTTGTGAGCTTCGTCGAGAAAGTTCAGCGGGTTTTTTTTAGTTGTTTTTTATAACGAAAACTCTCACTTGTTTAATTATCAGAGACTCGTCTGCTGTGTTGCGCTTTCTTTTTGTGCGATATTTGCTTAAGACTCTGCGGAAAATGTTTACAAAACGCGCCAATTTGCTTCAAGCGGCCCATAACAATAACAACAATAACAATAACAATAACAAATGTTGTCTGTTAAATCATGAAAAGTGCAGCGATTTGGTAAGTTTCTTACAAATATGTAAACAATTTGTATTTCGTGCCGAAATCCGTCTGAATAGGTCATGACATTGATTTATACAAATGCACTTGACTGGAAATTCCCCGTCAAGAATTTTGTTTAAATTGTTTTTTTGAAGAAATATTCGTATTTGTTTGTTTAGATAGTTAGATTGTTTAGTAAAAGCACGCAAAGCAGGACTCTTCATATTATATATTTTTAATATAGTTCCATTCAATTAAATTATAAATAAGTAAGAACTGTTAACCAAAAAATATATATGAGGGTATTTATCTGTAATTTTATTCAATTTGAACAGAATTTAGAACAAAGTGTTAAGCAAATGCTGCCTTAAAACTGTTTACAGGGTATCTCTTAGACAGTCCCAACCGTTTAGAGCTTAGCACAATAAACATTTTGAATGTCTAACATAATTTATATGTGGAGAAATTTTGTATGGTAACTTTTAAGTTTTGTATATTATTGACTAGAAAACATTGTTTACATTAACATTGCTAGCATTATTTTTGTACCATGACCCATTGGCAAGGGTAAAAGGGGTATAACAGTTGCAGGCAAATGTTTGTAACAAGCAGCGGTAAACATAAACAATCGAGTCGACAGTCGATCTAACCAAGTCCGTCGAATTTTGAACCGACAAAATTGATTAAAATTGATAACGACATCTTGATCTCGAGCTTCTTAAAGCTAAAGGCATAGCATTTCAGGTGTAGGATGTGATATGATATGATATAGGATATTGAATGTCACATTTTGAGTACTTTCTTTGTTCCTCTCAAGAAACAAACCTGTATTTTTTGAGGTAGATTCCTTAACTTTAAGAACTATCCACATTTGCATGTAAGATTTATGATCTGAAAATTTCATAATAATCAGATAATAAACAGCCGAGTTAGTCGGGAAAGTATTTCCCATAAAGTTGAACTAAGGGCAGACTAGGCACAGCTTGAGGCGTGTGCAAGAAAGGGAGGAAGTTGAAATGCCTGGGTAAAGGGTATCTGCCAAGTTGGGAACTGCTTGTCAATTGTTTTTTAATTCTTATTAAAATGTTCTCCGAATAATTAAGCAGACAATCAGCGGCAAGAGTGTAAACAGTGCAGCCAAAGATTATCCACACTGCCATTTCTTTAATAATAATAATTATAATATAAAAACACATGCCACGCACCGGGCTTGGCAGATAGAAAACAAAAACTGATCTGAAAACCAGATGGAACCAAGCTGAGCGTGAAGAGCTGCTGCTCGGCTTGGCTTGGCTTGGCCCTCTCTCTCTCTCCAAATAGCTCCCGATCTTTGAGTTGCGCTCGGGCCGCAATATAACACGGTAAATATTATACAAACTTTCAGTTCGCCTTCAGCGCTCGTTGCGTGCATTTAACACGGCAATCATTACGCGAGATTTCGATAATATTTCCAAATTTATTGCCTTTTAAGTTGAAAACCATAAAAAACGCGCACAGAACATTCTAATTTAAGCTTAAACAGAGAAGAGAAGCAGAACCACAACCATGCCCAATCCGCCCATCGGCTTCTATCCACATATCAAGAGAAGGGTATGACCTGAGAGATCTGCGCCTGCGCATTCCATTCCAAAGTGCTTTGTGAACTGAAATAAAGTGTTGAAGTGTTCCTTGACCCAAATTAATTGACTAGAAGAGATCTAGAATCGCGTGCAAAAAAAGCTTGATTTGATTGTTTAACTTGTAGAAAACCAACGAATTCTAAACTTCGCTGTGTTGAGGGGATCCCCAAAGAGTTTCTGCTCATAAATCTGGACTTGGCTAACTGTTCAAAAACTTCATTGTGCTTCATTTAAACCTTGCCAGAATAAGGTGGTTATAAATAGCACACGGAAAGAGTCGCAATCAGATCGCATTCTGATGTCTTTCTTTTGCATTTGGCTCCATTTCTGCCTCTGGTCCCGATGTGAACCCATCTATCTATTGGCGTACATGTGTATATGTGGTATCATTATCTCATATTCCCTCGAGTTGGCCGCTTGGCCGTCTAAAGGGTCAACAAACTGTGCAGATTCAGCAAATTGAATAGCCTCAACGCCGCCTTAGGGTCAAAACCAGACCCGAGCCGCAGGCGGCATGAATATTAATTTATGTTAATTTTTGGGAACTTAATAGCCCGCAGCCACATTAAGCTAATTCCCATTCGATCTTTTGCAGTGCCTCCAGGTCGCAACGAATGTGACCGAACAGAAGCATCATGTCACCCGGGAGACGCGCGGCCGAAATCTGGGCCTGTGCCGCGGCTTCAGGGGCTGCACCGTCTGGCTAACAGGTGAGCAAAAAAAAACCTTTGAAGACTTTGATCGGCTGCCAAATGGAGGCAGAGAAGAATTAGGAAAGCGAACATATCATATCATAGACAGAAATAGACAGGGAGATACATACATATAAGAACGTTAATAAAAAGTAATGATATTATACTCAAAAATATTGATGAGCACAAAAGTACCGAATTTTCAATGCTCTTTGCAGCTGGTTCAAGTCATATTTGTGGCTTAAGAGACAACTTAATTTGCAAAAGATTTTCACTTAAATAAATATATTTATTTGAACAACTTGCCAAGAGTTCTCATTAGAGTTGTCATAAAGACCTTTCTCCCATCTTGCTCACATTATGGAAATCTAAATAATGTTGTTGGTTGTTTTGCAATTTTCAGACTTCCTATTTCAAGGTGTTTCAAGATATTCTAATTTGACCTCTAGTGACTTTTTCTACGTACCTAATTCGAGAAATATAAAAGTAACATAAGTTGCCTTGAATCTGAAATACTCTAAAATGTTCATGCGTCATTCTGCCTGTTATATTCAATATACCCCAAAAGCGTAAAAATTTCGGCATTGAAAAGCACAATTTTTACTTTTATTGCTTATTAGATTTAATTTATGTATAAAGACTACGTTTTTATTAAATTAAATTCATATTAATTTCAAATTGAATTCATATTAATTTCAAATTAATTCTTTTAAATCGTTTCAATTTCGTTTTTTCGCCATTTGCAACACTTTTTCTCCTTTCTCGATTCATTCGTTTTTTCCATTTCTTTGTCTTGTGTGACCGTCTTGTTTTATCTTATATATGCCTAATTCTTTCGATATATGTCTATTGCTAGTTTATATTTATCATTTTGTTTGGTCACATTGATCTTTTCACCAAATTGAAATTCACGTTAAACGGCAATTATACTATGTAGAAAGTAATAACGATCGACTTACGTTAAATGGCAATTCAACTAGAAAATTATAAAGATTGACTTTTCTATCTACTTTATACAAACCTGTATATTAGTTCCAATTGTACCATTTGCCTTGTTTTGCAGGTCTCAGTGGCGCGGGCAAAACATCGATTGCCTTTGAGCTGGAGGCGTATCTGGTCTCTAGGGGCATACCCGCTTATGGTTTGGATGGCGACAATATACGCACCGGCTTGAATAAGAATCTTGGCTTTACGCCCGCCGATCGCGAGGAGAATATACGGCGTGTGGGCGAGGTGGCCAAACTGTTTGCAGACAGCGGCGTCGTCGCAATCTGCAGCTTTGTGTCGCCTTTTGCAGACGATCGCGAGATGGCGCGCAAGATACACAAAGATGCTGGCCTGAAGTTCTACGAAATCTTCGTGGATACGCCGTTGTCTGTGTGTGAGACACGCGATGTCAAGGGTCTGTACAAAAAGGCGCGTGAGGGCGTCATCAAGGGCTTTACGGGCATCACGCAGGAATATGAGCGGCCGCAGCATCCCGAGTTGGTGGTCAGCACGGATGACTGCACGGTGCGAGAGTCTACGCAAAAGCTGGTCGCGCTGCTGGAGCAGGAGGGCATCATACCGCGATCTCTGCGGGATGTCGATTTGCTGCCAGAGCTGTATCCCAGCGAGGACAGCGAAGTGCAGGCCCTGCGCGAGGAGGCCGAGTCGCTGCCGTCTCTGTCGATAAGCACAGTGGAGCTGCAATGGGTGCAGGTGCTGTCTGAGGGCTGGGCATATCCACTGCGCGGCTTCATGCGCGAAGACGAGTATTTGCAAACGTTGCATTTCAACACGCTGCAAAGTGGTTTGGACGTTTCCTATCGCGAGAACCACTCGGTGCCCATTGTACTGAGCGCCACTGCGGCGGACAAGGGGCGCCTGGAGGGCGTGCAAGCCCTGACGTTGCAGCACGAGGGCCAATCGGTAGCTATTTTGCGTCGCCCTGAGTTCTATTACCAGCGCAAGGAGGAACGTCTGGCCCGACAGTTTGGTACCAGCAATCCGAATCATCCGTATAGCAAACAGGTGTACGAGTCCGGCGAATATCTGGTCGGTGGCGAGCTGGCGGTCATCGAGCGCATACGCTGGAAGGATGGACTCGATCAGTATCGGCTGACGCCGAACGAGCTGCGCTGTCGGTTCAAGGAGCTCAATGCGGATGCCATTTTTGCCTTTCAGCTGCGCAATCCCATACACAACGGTCATGCGCTGCTGATGCAGGACACCAAGCGGCAGCTGTTGGAGCGCGGCTTCAAGCAGCCGGTGCTGCTGCTCCATCCACTTGGCGGTTGGACCAAGGACGATGATGTGCCGCTGCAGGTGCGCATGGCACAGCATCAGGCCGTGCTCGATGCGGGCGTACTGCGACGCGAAGACACCGTTCTGGCCATATTCCCATCGCCCATGATGTACGCTGGTCCAACGGAAGTCCAGTGGCATGCCAAGGCTCGAATGAATGCTGGCGCCAATTTTTATATTGTGGGACGTGATCCAGCTGGCATGCCGCATCCGGACAAGCAGGCCTATCCCGATGGCAACCTCTACGATGCAACTCACGGCGCACGTGTACTGAAAATGGCCCAAGGATTGGACAGCATGGAGGTGAGTGATTATCTAAAATAAATGTAAATCAACCTCCATATCCAAAATCCAATGTCCATTTAGATACTGCCCTTCCGTGTGGCCGCATATGATAAGACTGCCAGCCGCATGGCCTTCTTTGAGCCGCAACGCAAGGACGATTTTGAGTTCATTTCGGGCACCAAAATGCGTACACTAGCCAAAACCGGCGCCAGTCCGCCCAACGGCTTTATGGAGCCGCAGGCCTGGAAAATACTCGCCACTTACTATCAAAATCTGCCGCAGGCGTAACCGACAGCCCGTTGATGCAACGGAGAGAAGTTCCGCACAACAATTAGTGCAATTCGCTTAGCTATATATATCCGTCATGGCTTATGTTTTACACGATTCACATATTTGTATATAATGTGTTTGTTGTTCAAGTAATTTGTATGTATCTGAGACGCATATCCTAATCCCTGTCTCGAGTCAAGTAATGTAACCTTTGTATCCTTATCTATGTGTGTGTACATGTGAAAATGTGTGTGTTTTGTTCAGCTACATTGTTCTAATCCAACAATTAATTGTATTTACATTTAAGTTGTCCAATTTCATGTTATCTTTAAGCAAAAAATTGATCGGTTTCTGTACTGATTTCAACGAAATGATGCGCATTTTTAAAATACATGCATTTAATAAATGACTATCTTAACTTTATCTCAACTCTGTTATTTTACTTTGGAAAATCCATCCGCTTTCTATTGGAATAAGAGGTAAGTAGGGAGACTACGGAAACAGATCTGTCCACTTTGGATGAACTCGAAATGTAAATACATAATAAATAATGCTTTCTTGCACATGATTTATTTTATAAAATTGTATACGTTTAATAATTAATATTACAAGTACATACATAATTAATTAATTAATATCAAATATGCATTTCGATTTAGTTACCAATTAACTTCACAATATGTATTTTAACTGCTCGGCATTTTTTTTTTGTTTGGTTTTTGTTATTCGTATTGCATATGCTCATATCATTTATTATACTTTCCCTTTACGCACGCAAAATGTTAATTATATTCATTAGAGATTAACGGCCTGTTTATTGACAACGCCCCGTGGTATATGTTATGAAGCACCCGCAACAGTTAGAACTTGCATTATCTAAGTGGACCGATATATAAAATTGTGCGTATGAGTCTAGATTGCGTTCTGCGAACTGATTAAGGGCTAGGCATGGGTTCTACGAACAAAAGTAGATGCAATTAAATTAAATAATTATAACTGAGCATAAATGAAGAGCAAACGATGTAAAAAAATATATATAAAATATAAATACATATATTTATTTTCTAATTTATTATTTTGTCATTGGTTTACAAATCGTGAACAACCATGGCTGCTAATTTCTTGCTACAGAAAATTTATAAATTATACATTAAAAATGAAAATAAAAAACTCTGTAACTGAACGGAGCGGAGGGCAGGGCTGGGCGGGTTGTATGGTTTCTTTTCGTTCATTTTCAGTTTTCGCTACTCACAATGTTCGTTCTCATGTGTGTTATTTTGTTGTTAACATTAAATGAATATTGAATGTATATATGTATAAATATATGCATATTTCGTACACCTTGTAGACATGTCTCGATTGCATATACAATTTTATAACTGAACTCTTTTATATTATTATAATTATGTATTATTTCATTATCTTGCATATTCAGGGTTGTTTGCTCGCTCGGTTGTTGGGACTTAACAGGAGTTAAGAAATCTACTACCACATACATTATCATAATTATTACCACCATACCGCATCAGTGCCACACGCACATTGCCACGTCAAAGCAGACTGCATCTGGACAGCCAACTGTCCTTTGTTCGAATCTCTGTTAGTTTCAGCTGATGACCGCCCTTGGGTGGGTTGTTCGCCTCCTGTCAAGCGAGAAAGATCAAATTGTTACAAATCGTAAGAACAGTGAATGGCTCGGATATATTCACTTACCATTCGCTTTTCCGTTTTCGCTTTGATATCACTGGCGAGCGTGAGGAAAGCTTCTTCAACATTAATGCTTGCTTTCGCGGAGGTCTCCATGAATTTGATGCCATACTCAATGGCCAATTGTTCCCCACGTTCCTTTGAAACCTGCATAAAACAAAGAAATCGCAATTTATGTTTTAAGATTACAAACTGGTACTGTTTTTGGGGTTCACCTGTCGCTTATCGTTCAGTTCGCATTTATTGCCCAGCAGCATTTTCTCAACATCGGCGGCGGCATTCTCTTCGATATTTCGAATCCAATTTTTGATGTTCTCAAAGGATTTCTCCTGTGTTATGTCATACACCAGCATTATTCCCATGGCACCTCTGTAATATGCCGTAGTGATCGTCCGAAAGCGCTCCTGGCCAGCAGTGTCCCTGTGAAATGGTTTTATCTTATTATTAATATACGATATTAAACATGTTTAATTAATAACTTACCATATTTGCAATTTGATTTTCTTGTTATCCAATTCAATTGTTCTAATTTTAAAATCGATACCTGCGAAAATGAAGAGAGAAGAGAGGAAACACGTGATAAGCATAGACAACCACAAATTAATCTAAATCATTCTTGGCAGCTGGGGCACCCTCTGCTAGCAACTAATTATCGTGCTACTCCTGACATGATACGTATGAAGACCAAGAGACAAAAGAGAGCGCAGAGCCAGCAGTTGAAAATACGCAACTGAATCGAGACCGAGACGTTGGCGTCGTTAAGTAAATAACCCAAATTGGAATTAGTGCAGGGAAATGTGCCAAATATAAAAATAGACAAATAGCTGAGCTCGTGCCATGTGTGTGTGTGTGTGTGGGTTGTGTCTCAATGTTGCTGCAAACTGATGGAACCCATCTTAGCATTACTGTGCATCGGATGCTTATCAGCCGGGAACTTGAAGTGAGTCTTGATTAACTGTAGATTGGGGTGCAATGACATTGGGCTAAACATGCACCGAGATCGGTATTTATCTGTGATTAGTATTTTTGAATGGTTGCTATCATTTCTATTTGTACGCATTTATCAATATCTTAGGTTGGTCACTATTCCCTTTTGAACTACGTCCTTGTCCACAGCACAGCAACAACAACAACAACAAATATGACAAATAGCATTACTGAGAGCAAGAGAGCATATAAAATGAGTCACATATTTTTATGCATGTGTGTGTGTGAGTGTGTGTGTATGCTGCTTACAGCTGAGCCAAGAGACGGGATTGAGAGCATGAACCTGAATACGCACATATGTGTGTGTGTGCGTGTTTGTGCGGTTGCGATTGCTGCCCGGCGGCGTCATAATTAATTACAAAATTTCAGAGAAAGAGCAAAAAACGACAGAGAGCGAGAGAGAGAGAGAGAGAGCGATGTTGATTACTGAGGATGACGGACTGTGGGCTATGACTGATGATGTATGCACTTTGAAATGTTTGGTTCGCTTGTTGTTGTTGTTGTTATTGTTGTCAGCTCTCTGTTGTGCATAGATTACAAATATTGATAACGCTATGCACAATATACTCACCTATTGTAGATATAAACGTCGTGTTGAAAGCATCCTCTGAGAATCGAAACAATATGCATGTTTTGCCAACTCCAGAGTCACCGATCAGCAACAATTTAAACAGGTAGTCGTACGTTTTGGCCATTGTATTCTGTTGTTGTTGTATGATTAAATCACAGTTGTGCTTCTTATTGTGCCAGTATACCGTTAAAGATGCAGCTCGTCGCTCTTTAACTTATGCTGTTCCTTTTTGCTGTTATCGTCCACGTCGATAACTGCTGCTGCTGTCGTCGCTGTTGCGTTTGTTATATGGCGGTGGTTGGTAATCAGTGGTTCTCGATTAATATTACACACTATGCTAATGTCGGCGATTAAATTACTATAACTATAACTGCTGCTGCGGGTTGGTATTTATTATATGTACGTATGGGTATGTATAAAAAAATTCATAGACGTAACCACACACAGCAGACACAAACAAACACACGCAAGCACGCACAGTTTTTTCTCTTTTCAGCTCTGACTCTGGTTTTCTTTTGTGTGTGTGTCGATTCGGGCCCAGTTGAAAAATGGCGACGTAGTTTTAAGCACTTTAAATGGCAATTGTAAATGGACGCGCGATGCTTTACACTTGTACGTACCACACATGCAATTGTGTGCTGTGTTGTTGGTTACACGTAAAAATTACGCTTAATTATTGCTTTCTAATTACGCCCGAACAATAAATGATTGGTATGTCGCAGTGTTGTGTAGGACAAAAACGAAACGATTTATCGATAAGTAGTGTTGCTAAGCGCGCTGGGGTTACTATTTAAACAGCTGCTTGTTTGTAGTAAATCAGTAAAACAGCTGATAAAATTTCTAATGTCCCGAATATACAGTATTTTTTATGTCACAAGCGTGGTCACACTGATCGCTGATAGTTAAAAAATATAAGCGAACGCGAAACTAGTAAAGCAATGAAAGTGTGACAAAAAACTAAGTTTATTCAAAAATAAAATAACTCAAAACTTGCTTTTGCATGTACATGACTCTCTGTCTGTGATTTGCCCTCAAGGCCCGGTAGCAAATAACATAAACAAATGTGAGAAGTGGAGTCACAAGACGACGACGCCAGCAGAAGCACTCAAGAATTTGCCGTCGTCGCCCAGGCAATTATGGGTACAAAAGAATCCAAACATGCTTGCATCAGTTACGAGGATGCAGTCAAACGTGGTAAGTGTTAACCTTCAATACCTGAGTGCAACACTGGCAGTTCTGCAGACCACAAAGGAATTAGGCGAAAAATGGGTCATACGAGTACACATAAGGTTCTAGAACAAAAACAATAATAGTATGCACCAACACAGGTGTAATTGCGCTTTATCGATTCTATTATTGTTTCCACTCTATTTCCATGCTTTTTTTATTGTTGCCTTTTGCTGCTGGACACAGCTAATTCTTTTCATTTTCGTCTTATTCTGTTGTTTTTCGTGCAAATTTCAATACTGTGTAGGTGTGTGCTTGCGTGTGTATGAGTATTTGCGTCGTCGCCGTCAGTGACGTCACAATAGAAAAGCACAGCAGCCGCGTTGTTTTTTTTCGTGGTGGGGCGGGAATATCTCTGAGACAAAGCAAACGAGCAGACGAAGCAAGTAATCATACAGAAACAGTTAGTAGCACTCTTTGTTGTTGTGCGGCGATTTTTGTTGTTCTTTCTCATTATTTTTGATCTGATGTACGCGCTATGACGTCTGCGAGCTCGTCGTCGTCGTCGTCGTTGTTGTTGTTGTTGTTGTTGTCACATTGTTGACTTGTCTAATTTTCTTTCGCCTTGCATTGGCATTCATCTCAGTGCTGTTGTTGTTGTCATTTTATGGCCAGCAGCTAAGGCAAAGAAAACGAACGTTACTGATAAGATGCCGCCATCTATATTTGTACCTGTAACAGCATACTTGCTGCTCAGGTGCGGGTGTCGATTGTTGGCGCACAGACAGCACCCCAGACCGGTTTGCTTCTTATGAAAACGTATGCAAGTCCAGTTTAGACCATTGTGCAAATGCCCCCCTCATAATGCAGTCAGATGCAGAAATTTCCGTCAATGCAGCAGCAAAAAACAAAAACAACAACAACAATGAAAAAAGCCAACAGCAAAACCTGCTATGAAATACCGTTGTCGCGTGACGTCGCATAATAATTT